GGGTTTATGTGGCTTACACTTCCATGTTGTAGTCCATCAATGGAGAAAGTCAATGCAGGAACTCAAGCAGGGCTGAAGGCAGGAGCTGATGCAGAGGCCGCGGAGGGTGCTGCCTACTGCCTTGCTCTCCATTGCTTGCTCAGCCTGCTTTCCTACAGAAGCCAGGACCACCAGCCTAGGGGTGGCACCACCCACCATAGGCTGGGCCCTCCCCCATCACTCACTAGTTAAGAAAATGCCCTACAGCTGGATCTTATGGAGGCATTTTCTAATTGAGGTTGCCTCCTTCCAGATGACTATAACTTGTATCACATTGACACTGTACATGAACAGCTCCTTTCCCTCTCTGGGCTGACTCGAGAAGAGGTGGCTCCTAGAGCTAGGGGTGTCTCCAAAGAAACATACTAGATAATTCAGAGGCAGACGACATCCAAAAGTGCCTTTCCCGTGACTGTGTGAAAATCAAGTAATGTGTTGTTCTGATATTAAAGAGTGTAGTGGTGGCCATACTCTTGGCAGGTGCCCCGTGACCCTTGCAGGAATCACAGTGGAGGATGGGGCAACTGTGTAGGCTGTCCGTTGTGAGGAACACACTGTTTATTTCAGGCACTGTGTTGGGGGTTGCTGGTGTTCTCTGACTGAGAATGTTTTGTCAGGGTGATGGGCGAGAGTCAACCCTATACACATCAGCATCCCAGGGAGGTGCCAGGTTAGGATATCAGATGTTTTGCTTTGTTCTTTATCCAAATTACAAGCACGCTGGCTCTGACCTCCTTGGAAATGCTTCATCATGGTTGATAGATGCTCCTGGTCAATAAATTCTACAATGTAACACACACGGGAAAGGGAACACCTTTTGATGGCATGCCGAGAGCACACTTTGGGAACAGTTCAGTGTGTATCTCATGTGACCTTTCAACAAGAATAATGTGTGTCATTCAGTAAGCTATTTTTTTTTAAATCTCAGTTTTCTGATTGTTTAGAAAATCTTGCAGAATTTCAGTGGATTTTCATTTCATTAAAAATATAACAATTCTGCTTGCTTTATAAAAATAACTGCTTCAGGGCAGGTTGGATGTTTGTCATCAAATCCCAGAAACAGCAACCTTTTTATCAGTGTGTGGAATAAGACACATGTGAATGTAGGAAGGACAGAGACCCTAGCAGCACCTAAACCCAAATACTGCTATAAGCAGAACCCAGAATAAAACTCTTCACTGCTGTATGCTTAATCAGGGCTAATTTTCATTTTAGTGTTATTTTTTAAATCCTTTTTTTAGTCTTTGGAAGTTTCATATACATGCATAAAATGTTTTAATCATAATTATAAAAGGAAGTTTAGTCTGCCTTTTAAGATTATATATTACTCTTTCATGTAGGTCTGGGTATAGTGGTGTATACATTTAATCCCAGTTCTTGGGAGGCAGCCGCAGGAGAATCTCTCTTAGTTCAAGGCCAGCCTGGTCTACACTGTGAGCTCTAGGTCAGCCGGAACTACATAGAGAGACTGTCTCAAAGACAAAACAACCAGTATGTCTCTTCTCTCCCATCCCTGTCCTTGGTGTCTCCACATCTCCTTTCATGTTCTACCATCATCTGTAATTGAACTTCTCCCTTGGGCTGTAGGATCGTAGGTTTCTGTATAGCTCATTCTCTCACCATTTGTTTTGGCTAACCCTTCTGCCAACACTTCATCCCCCATCTCTTCCCACCTCATGCCTGACCCTTCCCACCTCATGCCTGACTCTCCTCACCTCATGCCTGGCCCTCCTCACCTCATGCTTTACTCTTCCCACCTCATGCCTGACTCTTCCCACCTCATGTCTGACTCTCCTCACCTCATGCCTGACTCTTCTCACCTCATGCCTGACTCTTCCCACCTCATGTCTGACTCTTCCCACCTCATGCCTGACTATTCCCACCTCATGCCTGACTCTCCTCACCTCATGCCTGACTCTCCTCACCTCATGCCTGACTCTTCCCACCTCATGCCTGACTCTTCTCACCTCATGAATGACTCTTCTCACCTCATGCCTGACTCTTCTCACCTCATGCCTGACTCTTCTCACCTCATGACTGACTCTTCCCACCTCATGCTTGACTCTTCTCACCTCTTCCCACCTCATGCCTGACTCTTCTCACCTCATGCCTGACTCTTCCCACATCATGCCTGACTCTTCTCACCTCATGCCTGACTCTTCCCACCTCATGCCTGACTCTTCTCACCTCATGCCTGACTCTTCTCACCTCCATTCCTGACTCTTCCCACCTCCATTCCTGACTCTTCCTACCTCCATTCCTGACTCTTCTCACCTCCATTCCTGAGTCTTCTCACCTCATGCCTGACTCTTCTCACCTCCAGTGTCCCTCTGTTTCATTTTACTGTATTTTACCACCCCCTCCCTCCCTTAAGGCATCCACTCCAGAAGTCAGGGATTATTCAAGCATTTTATTTTTAAGCAAAAATATTCAGTTACATCATTTTTTATTAAAGTATTACTGATAGTAACTGATTACTTTAGAGAGGATAGATAGTGTTGTGCCATTCATACAAGCAAGCTATTATTTTTAAAATATATTTTTCCATCTTAGTTCTACCCTGCAAAGGCTTTCCTTTGGGATTCACTAGTGTGCAGCATGCTAAATATGATTAGTAATAGAGTTCCTATGGAGAAGAGGGTGTTTGCAGAGTTCTGTTGACAGGAACGGGGGATGAAAAGGCGGAGGCCGGAAGTCAGAGGCCACTGACCTTTGAGAGAGACCCAGAGCAAGTCACAGACTCACTCATGGGACACTCACTGCCAGAGGGCCACCACGACAGTGGCTCGGGGCAAAAGCATGCCCCGTCCCCCGACCCCCCTCCTACTGTGTCTCTTTCCAGCAGAGGTCATGGACTCTGAGCCCCCCCCCCCCCGCAGGTTGCCAGTGGCCACGTCCTTCTGTCTGCAGAGTGCAACCTGGCTGGCTGGTGGTGGTCAGGGTCAGCTCTGGTTCGACCAGGAGTCTGGGGCCCACGGGTATCTCTCTAGTGTTTCCGTGCACTGCCGTCTGCCCCTCTCTACCGAGTCATGCTGATTCGTTGATCTTATTTAAGAACAAAACACAAAACTGAAAAGAAAATCGTCACTTAGGGCCCGCTGCTCTTGCCTTGGACTTTCACACCGTGGTCACGTGTCCTCACCACGACTCTTTGACTCGAACCTTCCCCACGTTGCTCCTTGGAATCACTACTTCTTGCTTTGACCGTGGTATCATGCAAGAAAATCGAGCAGCGTGTAACTGGTGATGTCAGCTCTAGGGAGAGTAGAGTAGCCTTCCCCAAAGCAAATGCAGCTCCGGGTTGGAGCAGTGGCTCTCAAAGTGCATGGAAACATGCTGTAGCACAGAGACGCGTTTGCCCTGCCTGTGCACCGGTGACCACCACCACGGCCCGTGGATGGCTATAGTGGGCCTCCCGCATCAAAGGCACTGTGGTGGCATTCCTTCTTAGCTCTGTGGAGCCACAGTTGGTGGTAAGTTGGCCATGACTGGCTGCTTGCAGTGGTTTGAAAGGAAATGGCCCCCACATGGAGTGGCACCATTAGGAGGTGTGGCCTTAGGAGGCGTTAGAGGAAGTGTGTCAATGTGGGGGCGGGCTTTGAGGTCCCTTTTTCTTAAGCTTCGCTCAGTGTGACAGTCAGGTGACTTCTTCTTGCCTGTGAGTCAAAATGTAGCATCCTCAGATCCAATATGGTGTCTGCCTGCACGCTGCCACGCTCCCCTTCATGATCATAATGGACGGAACCTCTGAAACTCTAAGGGAGCCACTCTCCATTAGATGTTTTCTTTCGTAAGAGTTGCGGTGGTCATGGTGTCTCTTCACAGCAGTAATAGACCCTAACCAAGAGACTGTTCCTGCCAGCCCGCTATCTAGTCCTTAGTGCTTCCTTCCCTGCTTCTGGTTGAAAGAATGTGCATTCACTGGGATGAGAACCCCAGCCTGGCTCTCAGAGCCTTCTTGTCGCAGGGCCTGAGTAAGAGGGCTCTTGTGGAGGCAGCAGAAGTTCTGGGGGTGACATGGTGTCCTGGGGAGGTGCCAGCCTCCTGGTCCTGCGTCTCCTGGGTGAGGAAACCAGAGGCCTGCCTGGGCTGGTGCAGGCTACAGTGGGCTCCTAGGCTCCGAAGAGGTGTTTCAGGGACAGGAACGGGATCTGGGGAACAGACCCTGAAAGTGGGAGCGCCACTATCAACCGCTGAAAGTTCCAATGGGGGTGGAGAATCCTTCAAGCCCTGCATTAAGGGCGTGGCCCTGTTTCTGGTATGGAAGATGAAGAGTACCCATGTGGACCATCCGTGCATCTGGAACCCTGCGTGGGTGATTAGTGAGGTTGGCGTCTACCCTCTACCAAGAGAATTTACTCTAGACACTCGGGAAACAAGGGAAAAACCTTTTATTAGCATGTATCCTGTTCTGACTAACACACAAAGAGAAACCAGCCATGAACAGAAACTTGACATAAGGCTTATATAGGCCATAGGCTTCAACATTCCACATAGAAAGTTACACTTGGAGCAACTAAACCGAGACAGAAAACTTCAAGTCTGGCCTGTTAGGGAAAGTTGGAGATTTTCACACAATGCCACAGTTACTTTTAATGTAGATCAACATTGTTCTCTTCCAGTAGTTGTTACCTGGACCATCCTACCTGAGAGAACTATGCCTTCTTGGGGAGAACCAAGGTAGAGGCATGTTCTTTGATATGGAAATAGGGCCTAATTGGTGGCGATCATGGTGAACAGATCTTAGCAGAGCATATTCTCAACAAGCCTCAAGTTCAGTTATGTTAGAGGTACACAACCTCTCCTGGGGTCCCTATCAAGCCTGTTTAGCGTGCAGCTTATCTCCTGTGTAAATTAGAGGTGGTGCTCCTTCAGCTAAAGTTGTATCCAGGTGTCACGGTGGGAGGGTGAGGGCAGCACGCATGACGCATGACGCGTGACGCGTGACGCGTGACCCCCAGGCGGAAGAGGAGCGGGACGACATGGAGAGAGTGAAGCTGGACAACAAGAGGATCCTCTTCAACCTCCTGCCAGCCCATGTGGCACAGCACTTCCTCATGTCCAATCCCCGGAACATGGTGAGCGAGCGCTCGAGCATACGGGGCTCCTGGGTGACAGGACTTCCTGGTCTGCAGCGGGGGGGGGTGTGCCAGCTCAGCGGGGCCCACTCTGTGTCCCTCTCCCTGTCTGCCACCTTCAGAAATCCCTGATTTAGTCGCTCCGCCCCCTGCCTGGTCTTCCTGCCGGGCTGCCAGGACACTCTGGGGAGTCTAGGCTGCCAGTGTTCCTTTCTTTCACTTCCTTTGATCGTGGCCTGGGTGTAGTGTTCATAACACAGAAGAAGAGGAGTGTGGGCTTTAACGGGCTAAATTTAGAGAGGAAGCCTTCTTTTTCAAGTTTGGATCGTCTCCAGTAGCGTCCCTCGTTTGGGGACAACGAGGACAGAAAAAGCAGAGCACGCTGTGTGTAGCTGTCTGCTCCGCCTGCTTGAAACACGTGGAGATTTGTTTGGTCAGAGCTCCCCACAGCCTTGCCTGCTGCAGCAAAGCACAAGGGAAATGCTTACAAAGGGCCAAGCTCGAAAGTAAAGAAACCCAGGCAGGCTTTTAAGGCTCTAGGGGCAGGAGCAACCTGGAGGTTCAGCCTTATTCTGCCTGGCCTATAGCAGCTGCGGGTGTGACTGTGCACTCGGCTGAGGTTTAGAGCCAGGGGATCCCCCTTCCCTGCGACTCCCTCGCCTCGTTAGGCTCAAGGGTGAAACTGAGCACTCAGGATTTGCCCGTGAGTACAGCACACAGCCTGGAGCCCCAGCGTTTCTGGCCTGTCTCTAGAACCCACGGCCTGCCCCGTCCCCCTCCGGAACACCGTTCCCGTCAGTTCCCTCCTGGCATGGCATGGAGGGGCTGAGCCTTCTGTCTCTGCAGGACCTCTATTACCAGTCCTACTCCCAAGTGGGCGTCATGTTTGCCTCCATCCCCAACTTCAATGACTTCTACATCGAGCTGGATGGCAACAACATGGGGGTTGAGTGTCTGCGGCTCCTCAATGAGATCATTGCTGACTTCGATGAGGTGAGGCCGTGCAGGGTTGCGGGTCGGAACCTCTAGGCCCTTCCCTGACCAGGCACTGTGGCTGCCCCAGCGCTGGGGACGCTCTTCTCCACAGTGACTGTGAACTTGGCTTCAGGGACATGGATGTGTCCTGTGCTGTACCTACTTGGTACCTCTTTCATACATACGGCCAGGCACAGAAAACAGACCAGAGGAGCTGCTGAGCACAATTTAATGGCCTCCTGCTCTGTTGCCCTCTAGTGGATGGTGGCTATATGATGTCTCTCCAGTGCTCTGTGAGGTTAACCGGTTTGTTTTTTTAAACAAAGCTCATGGACAAGGACTTTTACAAAGACCTGGAGAAGATTAAGACCATTGGGAGTACCTACATGGCCGCCGTGGGACTGGCGCCCACAGCAGGAACCAGGGTAAGCAGTTCGCGGGCCACTTTCTCAGACCTGGGCCTGGCTCTCGTGCAGATGCTTCTGGGACCCTGGGCAGGTCCCCATACTAGGTTAGTTTCTCTGTGTTGGATTAGGGGAGAAGACCCTTGGCTGTCTTGCTATTGGCTCGTTCCCTTTAGATTCCCAGCCTTAGGAAAGTCCTCAGTCATTAGCCCTCCTCTCCAGCCACCCCCTTTGGCTACCCCCTCCTCTCCAGCCACCCCCTTTGGCTACCCCCTCCTCTCCAGCCACCCCCTTTGGCTACCCCCTCCTCTCCAGCCACTCCCTTTGGCTACCCCCTCCTCTCCAGCCACCCCCTTTGGCTACCCCCTCCTCTCCAGCCACCCCCTTTGGCTACCCCCTCCTCTCCAGCCACCCCCTTTGGCTACCCCCTCCTCTCCAGCCACCCCCTTTGGCTACCCCCTCCTCTCCAGCCACCCCCTTTGGCTACCCCCTCCTCTCCAGCCACCCCCTTTGGCTACCCCCTCCTCTCCAGCCACCCCCTTTGGCTACCCCCTCCTCTCCAGCCACCCCCTTTTGCTACCCCCTCCTCTCCAGCCACCCCCTTTTGCTACCCCCTCCTCTCCAGCTACCCCCTTTTGCTCCCGGCCTTGGAATGCTGAAAACTTTCCCCCCAAAGTGGAATTGTGAAAATGGAGTGGGTCTGCAGCTACCAAGGAGGTTGGTCCAGTAATAAACAGTCTCCCAGATAAGGAGTCAGCAGGTTACTTGGCCCAGCATTTAAGAAATGAAGGATGCCAGTCACCTCTAGCCTCTTCCAGAAGACAGAAGCAGAGGGAAGGCTTTCCAAGACTCATCCCGGGTCATATCCTCATGCCAAAGCTACACAAAGACATCACCAGAAAGGAAAACCACAGATCGGTATTTATTCCTCATAAATGTAAATGCATGCCGGGCGTTGGTGGCGCACGCCTTTAATCCCAGCACTCGGGAGGCAGAGGCAGGCGGATCTCTGTGAGTTCGAGGCCAGCCTGGTGTACAAAGTGAGTTCCAGGACAGCCTCCAAAGCCACAGAGAAACCCTGTCTCGAAAAAAACAAAAACAAAAAACAAAAAAATGTAAATGCATAAATTCCTTATCAAACTTTAGCAAGGTGAATCAAATAGTAAGTAAAATGAATTCTACATGAGGGCCATGGATTTATTACAGGGATATAAGACTGGTTTTACATTCCAAAATGAATGTCTTAAATTTGCCCTATCAACCTATGATCCTAGAAATTGATGCAAAAAAAAATTCATTTGCCTCAACACCCATTCCTGAATAATTATTAAACTCAGAAAAAAAGGAAACTTCTAACTGGACAAAGAAAATACATAAAACCCTAAGCTTAACATTATATGGAATGGGGAAAAACTCCCCAGCCCAAGATTAGGAGCATTGCAAGGGATAACCCTTCTCCCAGCATTGATGTTAGTGCTATCATTAACTGTTAAATTTGGGATTTTGCTGACTAGTCTGGTCATGACTTGAACCACTATGTAGCTCCAGTTGGCAAAGAATCCCAGGCCTCCTTGCTTCAGCTCCCGACTTCTGGGATTGTAGTGTACACAATACTCCACTCTCCCACCGCTAATATTTAACAGCATTCTGGAAGTTCTAGCTGAGATCATAAGACAAGAAAGGGAGATAAAGCACGTATGGATTTTGAAGGAAGAAAACTATCTTTGTTTGCAAATGACATGACTTTATATATATATAACCTGAAAGAACCAATCATGGGTGGGCTAGGGGATGGATGAATGACACTTTGTAACTAAGGAACCGATAAATGGGCATAGGAAGGTTGCGGGATACGGAGATCATATGTAAAATGCAGTCCTGTGGACATTTGGTATTTGAAATTACAAACGTGACACCATTTATATGAGCACTAAAATATAGTACTGGGTACAAATAGATGATGGTATATACAAGTTCTTTATGAGGAAAACTGTTCTGCCTCCCTGCATAGGAAGGATGACTGCTGCCAAGATATCAATGCTTATAAATTTGATTAATGAAATTAATCCAGTCTCAACCAAAATTGTATCAGGATAGCTTATAAAACTGAAAAACTGAACGTCATACTGAGAAACAAAGGACCCAGAAGAGCCAAGCTAGTGTTGGAGAACTGACGAGGAAGCTACAGCAGCCATGACAGTGTGGTGTCCTGAGGGTATTTCAAACTGTGGAACAGGATAGAGAGCCCAGAAGGAGACACATACAACTGTGGTCAGCTGACCTCTACTTTTAATGTAATAACTGCATATTCACATGTAAAAATACAACTAAGATAAAGATGGTCTACTTTTCATAAGGTTAATGTGCGTCAACCTAATATAAAAACTTTTAAAATCTATACGATGTCTGGACACAACAGCATGGGAGAAAATCTAGATGGGCTTGAATTTGGCATGGTTCATTTTGGATATAACAGCCAAAGCATGGCCCCTGGAAGAGAAGATCAGTTATTTGGATTTCATTAAATGAAAAGCTCCTACTCTGTAAACAGTATTGTTGAGAATGAAGTCACTTTGCAGGCTTGGAGATTTAAATATAAAGGACTTACATTTAAAATGAAAAAAAAAACCCTAAGATTAAGAAATAAGAAACAAAAAGCAGCAAAGTGGAGAGGGGTCTCATAAGTGAAGACCCACAGAGGCAGGGAAGCACATGAAAAGATGGCCCATGTCCCAAGTCCCAGGGAGGAGGTCAAAGCATTGGCGTGGAACTGCACTGGCCTATTAGAACAGCCAAAACCCAGAACACTGACACCGCCAAGTGCTGGGAAGGATGAGGGGCAACAGGAGCTCTTGTTCCTTACCAGGGAAATGCAGCAAAATGTTCTAGCCACTGTTGAGGCAGTCTGGCAGCTTCTTACAAAACCAATTAGACCATTACCGTTGCCCATACACCCCCACATTTATGGTCCTTGGCGCTTATAAAATGATATGCAAGCTCACATCTGCACAGACACCCATACAAAGTCATGACAGCTTTACCTATAACCTCTAAAAAAAAACTGGAAGCAAACAAAATTCCCTTCATTAGGATAATAGAAAAAGAAATTCTGACATGTCCCTAAAATTAAATACCACTGTCATAAAATAGAAGTGTGCAGGTGACAAAGATGCTTGTGGCACTACCTGAAAGAGACAAAGCTACAGAGACAGAGTTAGTGGCTTCTGGGTGTGGGTTGGAAGGAGGATTGGCTCAGCAGAGCACACAGGATGTTTAGGTCGGGAAAGCCATTGTGTGACACTGGGGGAGGCATTATTCTTTCATCAAACCTGCAGAATACACAATATCAAGGGTGAGCTCTAGCGTTAAGTGCAGCTGTAGGCTGCTGATAATAGGCCAGTGTTGGCTCACTGACTCTAACAAACGTGCTGCTGGGGTGCAAGAACGTAGCAGCAGTGAGTGTGCGCAGAGGAGGTCACTACACGGAGAGTCTGTCTTCTCCTGTATTGCACACAAACTAAAGTTCTTCAAAAAAAAATAAATAAAGCCCGTTCAGTGTTGTTTTAAGAACATTAGTCCCCTGATGTTGAGGAAGTCTGGATAAATACAAGTTAGAAACCTTCTGCCCATCACTGTTTTAGAAATGAAATGACTTTGTCCCCAGTCACATCCACACTGACACAGCTTCAGTCTCTAACAAGGGACATATGTCTCTGACCTTTATTTGGCCTATCTGCAGCATGTATTGATAGCTCTGTCCACGTAGGCATCTGGGTACCTGACACCCCAGTCCCAGGAGCTGTTTCCTATATTTCCACAGGGGCGTGGTCTGGACTAGCATGACTTTGGGTGGCTTCTGCCTGTGTCCCTCAGAAGCCATAGTTTGGGAAATATCCCAAGTTTTCCAACTGTAGAATAAGAGGACTGATGTGGCCCCTGACCCCTCCTGTTCTGGCGCTCCATACGTTACTTTTCTCTTTTCACATCTAGGCTAAGAAGTCAATCTCTTCCCACCTTTGCACACTGGCAGACTTTGCCATCGATATGTTTGAAGTCCTGGATGAAATCAACTACCAGTCCTACAACGACTTTGTTCTCCGAGTTGGTAGGTGACTCTGGACTCACCCCTGTCACTGATAGAAGATGCTGGGAGCAGAGTCAGTGTAGGCTTGTGTCACAACAGATGGGTCTCGCTGGTCAGCAGCACATGGGGACAGCATTGCCTCTGAAGGTGGCTTGTGGCCGTGCACTGCTGCAGACAGGAGCTTAGGAGTAAGGATTTGTCATGCAGCTCAAGGGACACAGTGAGCCTCTTCACTCACTGCCGCAGTCATTCAGAGGCCCCACTGTGTTGTGCCCAGACTCTGAACCCCCCAACCACCAAGAGACCAGATCTGATGCAAAAGTAAAGTCTTTTTTTTTTTTTTTTTTTGGTTTTACGAGACAGGGCTTCTCTGTTTTGGAGGCTGTCGGTCCAGCCTGGCCTCGAACTCACAGAGATCCGCCTGCCTCTGCCTCCCGAGTGCTGGGATTAAAGGCGTGCGCCACCAACGCCCGGCGAGTAAAGTCTTTTTAATTTATGAGTTAACTTGACTTAACTTGTGTCCTCCATCTGTCCAAGACAGCAATGGGACAGGGCATATATTGGGGTAGAGCAAGGAATTGGTGCACCTCTGGGCTGGGGAACCTGTCCTGAATTGATTGATCAGCTGCAGCTGCAGGAAGGTTGCTATGCCTAGAGGCCATCCTAGGGCAGTTGCTAGCTCTGCATTCCACTATTATCAGTAAAGCACATCCAGAGCCCACCAGCTAACTTCTGATTGGTTCCTTACCACATGGAGGGTATCTGGAGGTTGCTTCCTAGTGATTAGGGCAAGCTCTGGGGCTCAGCACGAGTGGCTGAGTCAGTGGCCTATGCCTTGCTGGATCTTTTCTGCAGTCTGTCATGGCCGCCAAAACAGGGGGCTGGGTGAAGGTCTGGACGGTCCCTTCACTCTGCATCCTTGGTCACTTGGGGCCAGTCTTTTCCATCACCACCCTGATTGCTAGCTAAGCCATGCTGGTCCCTTTGAAAAGAAGTTTTGGAAGGAGGCCAGCAGCAGGGTCCAGGCAGCTCCTTCCTTGGCTGTGACTTGAGAGGAGAAGCTGCTTGATGCCCAGGACCCTTTTTCGTGTTTACAAAACCCTATTATAAAATAAGCTTTTGGGGTTGGAGATATGACTCAGCGGTTAAGAGCACTGGCTGCTCTTCCGGAGGTCCTGAGTTCACTTCCCGAACCCACATGGCAATTCACAACCATCATAATGAGATCTGATGCCCTCTTCTGGCATAAAGTCATACATACAAACAGAGCACTCATATACATAACATAAATAAATCTTTTTAAAAAGAAAGAAATTTAACTTTCACCTGAGGTGTAGACTGTCCCAGAAATTCTTACTCATCTAGGGTCTAGTTGAGTTAGAGCTGGGTAATTTCCCTTCTTCCCTCTCTATCTCTTCCTACCCTATGCCTCCCATCTTCCTGTCTTATTTGGAATACAGATAACTGGAGGTCTGTGGCCACCTTGCAATGCAAGTGTTCAGTAGCCTTAAAATGGCCCTTGTTTGTGCTTGGGTGCAAGGGTGACTGGAGGTGAATGGCATCACAGCAGGTGGTGTGTCAGTGTCCTTAGAAGCAAGCTGTTTCAACATGGTGTTCCCTGAGGACAGACAAAGCAGCCCTGACCTCTTTCCTTGTGACCAGTGTCCTCCTGGGCTGCAGGCTCTGATCGGTGCTAATGTGATAAGGTGTAGACTGGGTATGTTGGAAATCCCTCTTCCCCTGCACCTGGCCCCTATGTTGGTCCCGCAGTGAGATTGCATGATAGTCCTTATGGCTCCACTTCCCAGCTGACCAGCCCCTGCCCAGGTTCCCCTGCCTGGATACAGGTGCAGGGGTTCACAAAGGTAGCTCCTAGAATCCTATCAGCCATTTGAGAAGCGGCCCTCAAGTGTCCCCCTGGGCCACCCATGAGCCTCCAGAATAGTTTCTAAAGCCTGTGACTTCAGAGGAAGTTCAGAAACATTGCTTCCCATGCCCAGATGCATCAACGGGCAGGAAGTGGCATCTTGTAGACCAGGCAGCCCCATTTGCAGGGGTAGCTACCTGTAGGTTGTCATGAGAGTGCCGAAGACATCCCATTAAGGCCAGGCTAGGACAGGATGGCACAGGGCATTTACAGGGAAAGAAACCCACCCAGAGAAGGTGAGCACTTTGCCCAAGTTCTCACAAATGGTAACTCAGACTTGAGTGTACCTGGACCAGGGGGGAATGCTGTGGAGCTTTGCAGGTCCTTGAGGAGAGGGGGTTCATGCCCTCCTCCCTGGAAATCTGAATTTGTACTTGGTGCTAGGACCCCTACTCTGAGCAGTATCCTAGGAAGCTACTGCTACTTTGGGGGGCGGAGGAGGTATACCTGGAGGTAAGGTACACTGTGGTCACAAAGGCTATAGAGACGGATTTCTTGGTAGCTCCAGAGCATGGTTCTACAAAGAGACAAAGTGACAGTGATGCAGAAAGATGCCCTTCTAGTGGAAATCGACCCCACACACTCAGGGAAAATAAGGAGAAAGCCCTTTAATGATTACACGTGTCCAACTCTGGCTAATGCCCATCGAGGAGCCAGTGATGACTGGACGCTTTCTTCCTAACTTACATAGCCGTTAGGCTTATGCAGTCTGTATGTGCTGTCATCCCTCAATCTCTTCCAGATCCCAGGTTACACTGAACAATTGAAACAGGAGATAGCAAGTCTGGTCACTTGGGCAGATCGGAGATTTACACAGCAAAGAGACTGCTGGAATTCTTTCTTCTAGTCTTTCAAATAGTCACCCTGGTTTACCTTGTCCACTTGGGGCAGAATAGGCTTTTCCTGATAAGAGCACAGAGGATTTAGTGGCAGACCAGGGCTCAATGGTGGCCGTGAGTCCAGGTTCTGCATCCTTGAGCTGCCCTCAGAAGCTTGCTCTATGATATGGGATGAGCCTAATTGGCTTTGTCTCCTTTTGTTACGGGGATGGAGCCTAATTAGAGGTCAGCCTTGGTGAACGTGAGCAACCCTAAGCATCTACTGGGGCACAAACATTTCCTTCCTAAGTTTCTAACAAGCCGGTTTGCACACTACTCATCCTCTAAGCAAGTTTGTCAGTAGAGCCTCTGTAGAGTAATTTGACCTCTCTAGGTTTCTCCTGCATCAGCAGCACCTGGGGCTTTTCCCTGGGGTTAGGAGCTGCTCTGCAGGCCAGTGCTGCTGCAGGTGTGGTCGCATGCTGAGTGGGCTGCCTGTCGGCCCCCCTGGGGAGGCCTGGACCGGTTTGGATTGCTGCCACCTGTGTTAGGCTCTGTGTGGCTCTCAAATGGAGACTGAAGGGGATGCCTTTCCACTAGGTGCAGTGTCGGAACACAGGCTTCCCAATCACGTTTTCCCAGCTGCCCACAGGTCATTCTGTGGCTGTTTTCCAGGCATCAACGTGGGCCCTGTGGTGGCTGGAGTGATCGGAGCTCGCAGGCCCCAGTATGACATCTGGGGAAACACAGTCAATGTGGCCAGTCGAATGGACAGCACTGGGGTCCAGGGCAGAATCCAGGTAAATCACCCAGAAATCCCAAAGACACAGGCGCCCATTCAGTTGGGGAGGAAATTAAAGCAGGATCCTTGGGTCTGGGCCGATAAGTGGCAGGGCAGATGAGCCGAGTGTCCCGGTGTCTGCTGGAGACCCGGACAGCGCTGTTAACTCTGGCAGATGGCTTTAGCTGTCTGGTTTTTCCATGCATCCTTGGGGCCACTCCTGAGTGGGCAGATGTAAACCTGAGGATCACAGTGAATCAGGCATCACTAAGTAGCCTGACAGCCTGGCTTCTCATTGCCCTCCCTTGTTCCCAAACCATGGTCACAGCTGGGCTTGGTGGCTCACACCTTTAATCCCAGCACTTGGGAGGCAGAGGCAGGTGGATCTCTGTGTGTTTGGGGCCAGCCTGGTCTACAGAGGGTGTTTCTGGACAGCAAGAGCTATATAATGAGATGCTGTCTGTCTTAAAAGCAAACAAACAAACAATAAACCATGGTTGCCATTCAGCTGTCATAGCAGCATGGGGGGGGATGTTTCTCATGTGTTTGAAGAGCAGGATGGTGGACACACCCACTGCTTCTCATGTGTCTGAAGAGCAGGATGGTGGACACACCCACTGCTTCTGAGGAGCTTCACTCAGACAGGATGAGACTCAGTGGCGAGGATGTCTTCTAGGAACCACTGAACAGTGGGCTTCTGGTCCTCATCAGTGCTGGGGAATAGTCCAGCTTTAGCATTTCCCCCCAGAATAACACAAGACCTGCCCTTTAGATGTAGCCCTGTGGGTTGCACGGGACCTATAAAGGCTGCACTGGCCTTCTGCCACTCACTAGAGAACTGCAGCCTCCCAGGGCTTTGGAGGGACATCCTTATTATTCTGGTGCATTTTCTCTGCTTTCAGGACAGTAGGAAGGGGGCAGTGAACACCGGACACATGAGAGGTAGTGCAGGTCCCCTGCTGTGGTTAGGCCGCTGTTACCGTGGGCTTTTCTGACTCTATAGTTGTTATGGAGTTGTGTCTACTGGGCATTGATCCCTCCACTCACCAGGAAGTCTCCATCATCCCACAGCACTGAGAGGTGTAAGCATGGCTCCCAGTTTCCAGTCCCAGCGCCAAGTTCCAGTGTCCCTTAGCAGCTCTCTGTTTTTGCACTGACGGGATTTCATGTTTTCAGATTTCTTTTCTTATGGCAAAATGCATACAAAGCGCACCGTCTTCACCACTGACTGCGTAGCTTTGTGTGCCAAGCATCCTCATAGTGGTGCAGCTATCACTGCTGTCCTATCTGCGACAAGTTGTCTGTCGTCACCCTGGAGAGCAGGCGTACACTCCCCTCCCGCCTTCCCTGGACCAGTCATTCCCAAGGGAGGCTTTCCCCCTTTTGCCGCTGTAGTAAAATGTCCTGGCAAAAGCAGCTCAGTGGAGGAAGGATTTGTTTCTGTTCAACGGTCGTTCTTGGTACAGCCCATCGCGACCGAAGTCAAGCCAGCAGGAGCTCGATAGCATTATGTGCTGCAGTTGAAGGAACAATGATGTCTCTGTTCTAGTGCTAGGCTCGACTTCTCCATCTACACGGCCCAGGCTCCACCCGCAATTAAGATGGGTCTTGCCGTGTCCGCTGACATCATCCAAACAATCCCCCACAAGGCAATTCCCAGAGACCCTCCACCCAAGGGATTCTGGACTCTGTCCAGTTGACAACACTACCTATATCCTTTGTCAGCTTGAGGCTCACACACAAATCCCTTTTAAGCCACAACCTTCTGCTCTTTAGTCCCATAGGCTCAAGACCATCTTAAAGTTATTCCAGGCAAAATAAAAATCCTACCTAGCCATTAGTAGCAGCATCACTGTACAGCCCAGATATAAAATTGAAACAGTTTTTACATTCTTCCAGCATACAAAGTAAAATGAGTTTACACAACACAGAGTAAACATGCCTCTTCTAAAATGGAAGAACCAGGGCATAGCAAGAAATGGTTGTACCAAGCAAATCTGAAATCCAGCAGGGCAAGCACTAAATCCTGTATTGAGAATTTAGGGCTCATAATGTAATCAGCTGGACCCCTAAATACTTGGGTAGGACTCCCCCTCTAGCTTCACAGGGTTAGGCAAAGCCCTCCTTGCCCTCAGCCCTCCTTGCTGGATGTCCCATCCTGGCTTCTCTAATGTCTAGTATGTAATAAGTGGGTCCTCATTGCAATTGAGGTGTACCTTAACAGCTCCTCGGGGTTCACAGTGGCTTCTTGGGACCTCTAAGCAGGGACCCCCCCCCGCCTCATACCGACTGACTTTGGCTGTCCTCCTAACCCTGCCAGTCTTGGGTTCGCTATGCCTTCAAAGCCACACACAATGACACTGCCAAGCCCTCTTTGCCACTCTCTCAAGATGCAGCCCAGACTCCTTGGACCACAGCTACATGTTTTCTCCTGACCGTAAAGAAGCATTCTTTTAGGCAGTTGTGTTCAAGGAACCGAGAATGCTATTAGCTTCTGTTCCCTTTAAGTAAGTTGGGGTTTTTACAAGACAATGGGTTGGGTTTTGCCTTCAGACCACCCCTCTCATTCCAGTGCCTTGTTCACTGTTTCTCTTCAGTCCTTGAAATTGCTTCATGGGACATAAAGGTGAGGGGAAGGGTTCACTACTCTTTAATAACCACGCTGCTTTCTCAACACCAGGCCGATTGCCTTCATCTCCTTAAATTTCCCCTGCCCAAGGAATCGGTCCATTATCTTTACATTCTTTTCACTCAAGTTCCCAGGACACAGCAGAATGCAGGCAGATTGTTGGCCAAAATACCACCCAGATGGCTGTTAGCCCCACTGCCTGATACCCCCTGAAACCCCATGAACTGGGCCTCCATGGTCCACATTTCTCTCAGCATTCATGTTTTCCAAGTTCCAATGAAATGGCCCATTAAGCTCTGCTTCCAACAGAAGCAGGAACAGAAAATGACTTTTCTAGCCCAGAGTTTCAAACTCTCCCGCACTCCAGCTGTGTGTAAGATTCCAACAGCTAAAGACCCACAAGGTCAGGTTATCACAGCAGCAGCCTACTTTTTAATGCAGACTTCTGTCTTAGTTTCTTTTCCTGTTGCTGTGGTAAAATATCCGGATAAAAGCAATTTATTAGTCAGGGTTCTCTAGAGGAACAGAACTAATAGTATGAATATATATATATTTGGGTTTTATTAAATTTTTTAAATACTGCATGGGTCTTGGTAGTCCAATAATGTCTGCCTTCACTCTGGAGAAGCTTAGAGCCTGGTAGCTGCTCAGTCCACGAGGCTGGATTTCTCAGTAGTCCCAGTCTGCTGCTGATGATCTGGAAGGTTCCTGGAGAGCTACTACCCTTCATTCCACATTGGAAGGTCAAAGAAGCTGCATCCTAATGTCAGCAAAGATTAGCAGCAGCAGCAGCAATGGGGCAGATGGACTCACAGCAAGATGCAGTCAGGGTACTTTTGGTGACGTGGGCAACACAAAAGTAATCAGCAAAAGCAAAGCTCTTCCCCTCGGACCATCTTCTGTCTGTCTGCCATGGGACAATGCCACCCACATTGACGGCGGGTCTTCCCACCTCATAACTTGGTCAAGGAAACGAAATCCTTGCTTGGTCCCAGTTGACCACAATACCAACCATTGCGGAGCCCGCCCTGTATCCGGCCGGGCTGTTGCTTGAGGCCAGCATTGCATCTGTTACTAGAATCCGCTCTGAGCTGGACTGAGGCCCAGATGCTCTGCCCCAGGCATGGCTTCCCACATGGCCTTCTCCGCAGATCTCCCCGCTACACCCAGGGCCTCTGTCTTCCTTCCATTTTCTAGACATCCTCAGAAGTAAGGTCAGGGTTGCAAAGAAAGAGACCACCACTCCAACTGAAGTGTCTGGACAAGGCAGCTTTACTCCTGATCAAAAGAATGCACTATGCACTCAGAAGAGCAAACACACAGAGACAGGAAGTGCATTTGGGTTTTAGTCTTCTCAGGTAGTGATGGTGGCTTTTCCCCGTTTGCAGTCTGATTGGAGGGCGTTGGTGGCGCACGCCTTTAATCCCAGCACTTGGGAGGCAGAGGCAGGTAGATCTCTGTGAGTTCGAGGCCAGCCTGGTCTACAAGAGCGAGTTCCAGGACAGCCTCCAAAACAATACAGAGAAACCCTGTCTCGAAAAATCAAAAAAAAAAAAAAAAAAAAAAGAAAAATTGGTTCATGGGACATAAAGGTAGAGGAGAGAGTGTTCACTACTCTAGGCCATCAAATTCCTGGATACAGCAAGTCAGTCTTTGTGTAGACAGATGTTTTATAGGATTTAAAGATTAAAACATTTGAATAAAACTCTGACAACAAGGAGGAGACAAAAAACTGAATTCTTTGTCCTAAACACATGTTTTCTAGTATTTGATAGAAAAGGCTCATATTTGATATCTCTTATACTAGTGCTCAATTTGGTGGGGATGAGTGTGGAAAGGTAGTTTGAGACAGTTTCATTGTTTGAATATAAAATAGGAGGCGAGGTAAAGCCAGGAGACAAGGAGGTAGAGAGGCCTCCACTGCTGGCTTAGGGCAATGCCAGGGATCAGGTACATTTCATCCTGTATCTTTTCTCTGGCTTAGGAAGCAGGGATTCTTGGAGCCAGGACACTGGTCTGAAGCCCGATAAAAAGAGGAACTAAAAGATGACTATTTTCTCCCAGATATCTTTGCCCTCTGTGTGCTTATGACCCCTACTAAAAGCCCCACTTGGTAGCTGTACCCCAACCCCAAAAACTAAGGCGTGGGGTAAAAGTCTAGATTCTGTTTTGCTGAGTTATGTGGAGCCCCTAGCCAGACAGCCTGCCTCTGCCCCTCCATCCTTAGCACTGGGCCTACTCCCACATAGCCCCTGGCTGGCAGCTAAGTGACCACAGTGGCTCACCCAAGCCCTGCTGGGTCCCCAGCCTCCGCTGCCCCCACTCACCCAGATACAGAGTAGCTTTGTCCAAGTATTTCCATAGCTGGGCAGCTGGGATGGGGAGTGGGCTCGAGGGTCGAGGATACCTGTGGAGCCCCTGCCCTCCAGGGGAACCCCTCGTTGTGCATGACTAAGACTTCTTTCCACCGGCAGGTGACGGAGGAGGTGCATCGGTTGCTGAAGAGGTGCTCATACCAGTTTGTGTGCAGAGGCAAAGTCAGCGTCAAGGGCAAGGGAGAGATGCTAACATACTTTCTAGAAGGCAGGACTGATGGAAACAGTTCCCATGGCAGGTCCTTTCGCCTGGAGCGGAGAATGTGTCCTTATGGGAGAGGTGGAGGCCAGGCCCGACGGTTCCCACTATGTCCTGCAGCTGGACCCCCGATCAGACCCGGGCTCCCCCCAGCCCCCACTAGCCAGTGCCTGCCATCCACAGCAGCAGGGAAGGAGGCCTAGTGGACCCCATGGGCCACTGGAGATGCATGCAAAGACGAGCGCTCCTGGGTGACACAGGCCACCACAGCTCCGGGCCAAGATCAGCCAGAGGAGCAGTTGCCAAGTGGCTGGGCTGGAAAAGAAGCATCGTCTAGGCGTGGCCTGAGGCCAATGGGAGATGTGCCCAAGCCACCCACTTGGGGCATGCGGAGCCCTGTCTCTTCCTAGTGACCCGGTCATACCTGACTAACGTTGGCATTGGACCTTGGGAATATCTTCCACGGTCATAGCAAAGGCTATGGAGGTTCAGATGGCAGAGGAGCCCACCATGAGTGAGCCCCAAGTCAACCTGGCTTATGGGTGACTCCAGCCCTGGTAGGCCCTGGCTTATGGGTGACTCCAGCCCTGGTAGGCCCTGGCTTATGGGTGACTCCAGCCCGGGGTAGCAGCTTCACGTGCCAGACTGGGAAGTTGGCCCCGCTGGGCAGGGCCACGACAGTTGAGCTGTTCATACCATGGGCACAGCTTAGAGCTGGTCAGGTCTTGGACAGGACAGTACAGAAAGAATTGAAAGGCCACCTCTTGCTGCATGAAGAGTGGCGTTGCTAACTTTCCCCAAGAACAGGCTTCTGCTAACAGCCAGAGGCGGGTCTTCTGGGACCCTCGGGTGGCCCTACAACTCCACTTGTAGCCTTTTGACCTGTGCATTCTCTTCCAACGCCACCTGCCTGTTGGTTTCTGACTCCCGTGACAGTGGGCCCTCCTCTTCCTGTGCCCTCTGAGAAGAGGTGTGTGCTGACTTGCCTTCTCGGTGGTGTCTGGGACACTGTAACGAGAATCGAGCCTTCCTTTATGCTAAGAGTGATTACCTTCTACACCCATGAGCACTTTCCTTGCTGGAAGACATCTTTCTCTTGAGTAGCCTTTCCTCCGCGTGGGGGTTTCAGATTGGCAGTGTGTGTTCCTGAGTCTTAGGTATGGTGTCCCTGCTCCAGAGTGAAGGCAAAGAGTGATCGTGTTGACGTCAGGGGGTCTCCCACCTGCGTTTCCCCTTGACTGCCGCTGAGATGAAACCCACACGTGTGGGGACAGCATCTGGAAGAGCTACTAGGAAGCAGCAGGCTGGAAATAGCGGCTTCTGGAGATACTCAGCACTCACAGGAAGGAGGCAGGCAGCTTGCACCAGGGCAGGTGTGCATAAGCCCGCCTGCTCATGACTGAGTCCCATCTTCTCACTTCTCCCCAAGGGCGTTCCCCCCTCCTGAGGTCCTGTCTTAGACTAGGGCAGAGCAAAGCCCAGCCTTCCCTGGCAGGGCACATATGTGGGGTCCCTAGTCTCCAGCTCAACTCTGGTTCAAGTGTGGGGCCACGCCAGGGCCTGGGTAGTTTTACAGTTCGGCCAGCACCTGTCCTGGGAGAGTCAGCCGAGTCTAGACTCAGGTCGCATGTTGGTAGGAAGGAAGCATCAAGTGAGGGAGAGCTGGAGGCCGCATGCAGAGTCTCCAAGTACCTGAGACTGTAGACTGCATCCCAGGCGCCCTAGGGTGGCGGAAGGGCAGCTGTGAAGACTGCATGTTCTGTGTGGGCTGGCGCCTGAGGCTCATGGTAACGTGCAGCCTCTGACCTGTACACCCTGCTCTGCTGCCTTCCTGAGGCCTTCAGGCAGCGTGGTATGGCCCCCTGCTGTCTTTCTGTTACCCTACTCTGGCTTGAGCCCAGAGCCAGGGCCAGACTGACCTCAGCATTCCACTGCAGCCTTCGGGGCTGGAGAGAGGTAGCTTCACCCTATTCAGGGGTCTTCTTCCTGTGGCTTGGTATTTTGGTAGCAGTGCTGGGCAATGCCGATTCCGGTAGATCTGAGGGCAGGGAGAGCTTTCGGGTTTCTCCCATGGTCCAGAATTCCATCAGAGATTGCACTTATAGGAAAGCTTCAGGCTGTTGGGGGAGGGGAGCCTCCAAGGACAGGCAAAATCATGAGCCAGAACCAGGCTAGGACATGCAGATTCTCACTCTTTGTGGCTCCTGCCTCCTGCCTATTCCCATGTTTTCCCATCCTTGGGGCAAATGGCTTTTCCTCATGGACCTTTTTCACTAGGATGTCCTCACCTGTCTGTCTGTCTGTCTTAACCAGATTTGAAGCAGTCAGCTCAGACAGGAGCACTCAGAACAAGTGAGTATATTGTGGCCCTGGCTCTGTAGTGCTGTCCCTGGCCTTCTAGGTCATTAAGGATGGCAGAAAACCTCTAGTACAGCCTGGGTTTCCTCAGAGTGGCTTCTGGGCCTCCAGAGCTACTGCCTCCCTGAGTTATCCAGGTTAGGGACACAGGAGGGGTTCTCAAAGATGTCCACAGGATAGCCTTGGACCCTGTGTGTGTTGTGTGTGTGTGTGTGTGTGTGTGTGTGTGTGTGTGTGTGTGTGTCCTTTTCTGTCAGCTAAGGAGCTTCACAAGGGGACTTAGGGTAGCCATTGAAGGGTGAGAAAGGATCCTAGACTGTGCCGGTGGGGTTGGTGCCGACACATGGACTCTCAGGAGTCCACAGAAGGGTGGCTGGGTGTGAAGTCACCCACTGAAGAGACCTACGAGGACAGCACAGCTCCAGCCAACAAAGAAGCAAGCCAGGATGCCACTCCCACAACCACGGGAACTGAAATTGGCCCTAGCCTGAGTAAGCAGCAGGCAGTCCACCAGAACCATCAGGGAGGAGCCCAGCGACACCTGGATCAGACTCTGAGCCGAGAACCATCAGGGAGGAGCCCAGTGACACCTGGATCAGACTCTGAGCAGAGCCAGATGAGGCCTGTAGCCCTGCACTCGCCCGGAGTGTGCAAAATGGAGAGCACACGGGCAGGGCCACCCACCGTGTGGTCAGCAACCAGACGGAATCGCGCTGCCTTCTCTGGGTGCAGAACTGTTCTGAAGCAGACCACAGAGGAGCCGTGGCTGGGTCTCTTCTTCAGGGGCGACATCTCCATCATCAGCAATTCCAAACCTGCCTACTTCTTGTGAGGTCAGGAACCACACGTGCAGCCATAATGTTCCACCGGGTTTGGTGATAAACGACTTTCTTTTTATTTGTGATAAAAATGTATTATATTGCCTTATTTATTTTTAATCTTGTACAATATTCATGTACAAATGTTAGAGCCATTTGGGTAGGATTCTCTCCAAATTATTTATTTTAAGATGCTCTGTAAATAGTGCACCAGTTACAGGTGCTTCCTGTTCACTTGTACCAAAAATGAGGCAAAGCCTGGCACCCATGTCAGCCCCTGCTTGTGATGCTGTGGCCCTTGGGAAATGACCCCTTTGTGTTCCCTTCTCAACCCTAGCATGCCTCCCGTGCCTGACGTTGTAGAACACAGCCCCAGAATGCTTCCACGGGCTGTGCCAACCTGGGATGGGCCACTCCTAGAGCGTCTATACCTGCAGGTGTATGGGTATATGTCCCCACACACCCAGCAACCCAATTGTTTCTCAGACTCCAAAGCCACCAGGGCTTCCGGAACCCTTCTGTCATAGAAGCAATAACCATAACTCTATGCTGTAGAGACAAGTCTGGGCTGAGCGGGTCGATACTTCGGAAACTACCCACACATGTGAGTTGGCTACAAAGGACTGACATTCCAGGTCCCCGCCTCTCCCAGAAGGTTCAGCTCTAGCTTCTTGGTTCCTAGAGCCAGGATTGATACCCCCAGATAGCTAAGCAGACTGAGCCAGCCACCAGTCCTGGGCCCCACGCTATTGCTCACCAAGGAATAAAGCTTAGGGCAGCCATGCAATCCTGTATCCGTGCTATCCTTGAATAATGATGCTTTATGTGACCAAGGATAGTAATGGCTTGCTTCAGTGATGCGAGCATCGGGTAGTAATGGTTTGTTTCAGTGGCGTGAGCATCAAAAGGTAACATTTCAAGGCACTTGTGGAATGCCATTTAAAGAAAAAGACGCCATCTCTTTGTCAGTGCCATCCTGGTGGAGCAGAGCTCTGTGTTGGAGAGGGCAACCCCTGAGGGTATAACAGGAAAGAGCTACGAATGGAGCTGTGACTAACAGGATTCAGGCTGTGGGCTAGCTGCTAGATGTGGCTAGCATTCAGAGTGTCCACATTTATGTTGGTGCAATCCAAAGGGCTCTGTGACACCACGCGTCCTAAGAGCGACCTGCAGAGGCTGTGCTAATGACTTGCTTTAATGCCTGGGTAAGAGGGGAGCAGTTTGGATTGTGGAATCAAGGGAGGTGTCATTTGATTCCCCCAGCCATCACCACTCTTAACAAGGTAAGTTCTAGGACTCTTGGAGTCCCAGGGGTCTTGTTCACAGCCTGACAGAGCTTCAGCTTGTGTGTGTGGGGGGGCGTTACAGAGCAAGTGTGTACCCTTCACAGCGATCATAACTGGCAGGGAAAGAACATTCCTACATATATTGCTCATGCCCCGGCACCATGACAGGCTGCAGAAATCATGCTCACGTATTACTTTCTTAAATGACTGTCTATATGGAATCCCCAGAAACTAACTTGCTCATGCTCTTCAGTGGCTTCAGTTTTTACAGTGTCTCTCATATGCAAATGGGTGCATGTGCACACACATGCACATACAAACCAAACAAAACCAAACCCTTCTCCTTCAAGGCCTTTGCCTTGCCAAGCTATGATTGGCTTTGAGTGTTTCCATAGCTCCTCATTGGTTGGAGGTAGGTTGATGGTTAAAAGTGTGCGTGTGCGTGTGTGCGTGAGCGCATGCGTGTGGTTTTCATAGGGAATGCTGGAGTTGGTTTGCATTCCTGGCGCCATAGGCTGAGGGTTAGAGGAGTTGCATAGGGAGGGCTTAGATTCAGGGATCTGCTTGCTGATGCGATGGGACCCAGCATTCAACAGCAAAAATTGGAGCCTCCCTCAGCTGGCCTGGGGATGGGAAGCTAACCTCTGTTTTGGTCAGAAAGAGGCCTCCATCCAGGAACTAAGACACCTAGACAACTATCTTGCACACAAGTCATTCTGAGCTTTTGGGCACCAGAGAGGAAATGTGTTGGGATGTTCACAGCTGACAGGACGAATATGGTAGAAATAGAGGCTCTTTGGCCCTCAGCAACTCCACATGGGACCAGTGTGGACTCAGAGGCCTAGAGCCCGGGAGCCTTGCTAGGGGCTGGCAGAGGGTGTGAGGCCTGGTCGGAGGGTCTCCACCTGGAGGTAGAGAGGGGACAGGACTGGAAGGAGAATTCTGCAGAGTTTGATGGCCCCATCTAGATGATCTGGGGTAGTCTAGTCCTGCTGCTGGCTGCTGACAGCTGCACAGGGTTCTCGTCCTGCCCGGAGCCCATCTGCGATGCTCTGTGGACTGGAGGCAAGGAGGATTCAGTAGGCTCTAGCAACTGTTTCTTCCTGCAGGGTCAGGCACACAGTGAGCACAACCTCACACTGGGTCAGGCAAAATAGATAGGTGAGCACACCCTCAGAGGGCACTCTGGAATATGTCTGGTCTCCAGTTTTCCTTGTGTGTTCACTCCTAGTAAAGGCAGGTCCAATAATAGGGTGTGAGATTTGTCATTCTGGTCCATTTCATAAATACTTCAGATCCAACTTCAAGTGCTACACTCTGTCACTAAACAGATTATCTAATCAACAGGTCATTATGTAATGACTAAGACATTTGGATTTTTAAGTTTTCTTACTATTTTAATCCATTTTGTTCCACACATACCAAATCTATTCAGTAGCTTGAAAAACAACAATAAAGTATTACTCTCGGGGCCACACTTAGTTCAATGTGTGTTCCTGTGCACATGTGTAAACATGTGTGTGTGTCTTATACAACATAAAATTATTCTTCCTAGGATGAAGATGATTGACTTAAGGACCGACATTAACTTTGAGTCCAATCATCTTTGAGTCCAATCATCTTTGAGTACAATCATCCTTTGGGATCCTTAGCATCCCATGAGCCTGCCAATGCCCCTCTTTGGGGGAGTGGAGGATGGGCACATGTCCCTGAGCTAAGGCTCTTTTACAAAGGGACTGCTGTAATAGCAGCATTCAGGCCCAGATACACTGAGGCAATCTGTTGTTCCTATTTCTTTTGTCTTGTTGGTGTGAGGGTTTGAGTACGTGTGGAATACTCTGCAGAGATGCTGGGATGAGTGTCCATCAGAACTTTGAGGAACGACAAAGTGGTACCAACCTCAGGTACATGAGCTCTTCCCTCTCCCCCAAGTTACAGGAGCCGATAAGGAGGCCACGCCTTCTACCTAATGTGTCAGGTGTTGATTGCCTGTGCTGTATAATGGGAAGAACAAGACTCAGGAGACTCTCCTGGGTTGTGGTTCATAAGTGGCTGGAAAAAAATGTCTTAAAATTCAGAAAATTGAGCACAGTCATGCCACATCCCCCGTCCTGGCCAATGCTAAGTTGTTTAAAATCTAATGAATGTACTGAGTTTTCTTCAGCATGTTACTAGACCTGCTAAGTCCACAGTCAACCACAGGGAGGTCAGTCATTGTAACCCATCAGTTAGCATCTCTGGAGGGCCTTTGGTATGAGGGTAAATAGATCAAACGTTCGTTGCTAGCGTTCCCATCTAGCTTTGCAATTCCTGGGTGCCTTCTGTGGGTTCCTCATCCATGAGCAGCCTATGGAGGAAGTGGCAGGATAATACTCAACGCATGTTGTCCTGAGACTGAAACCCAGAGAGGGAGGGAGCACGCCTCACTCCCTCATCTATTCTATCCAAACCTGAGTTTTCTCTTCCAGTTAGGATTGCAAACTGCAGTCTCTAAGAACTGGGCTGCTGTTGATGCTATTGACTGTACAATAATGCTTACCTTGGTGCAGGGCACCTCGTGGAGGCTAGTCCCTTGTGGGCAGGGCTTGCTTACGCCTGCATTTGGAGTATGTGACCAAGTGCTGTTTGGTTGTATAGTCCTTGGCTTCTTGTTAACTTAAAGCCATCTGATCCCTTTCAGATCAGTCACATTCCTCTAAAGTTACAGACACCAAGCAAGAAATTAGACACCTGGCTTCAGCAAGCCCTGTTTTGTAGTGCCCTTGATAGTCTAGAACTTTCAGGACACCAACTGCCATTGTGTTTGGTGGGATCTTCCTAGAACACTCTTTCCTGAAAGGCCAGCTATCAGACAGGGACAGCGCTGAAGCATTCCCGTAGAGCCCAAACCACACACGCTTTGCTTCCCCTCCACACAGCCAGCCTGGCTCCAGTTACAGCCCTCACCTACAATGCTCTACAACCATTTCTATCATATGCTTCCAGCAGGCAGAGTGGTGAAGATGCCTTCCCAGGAATTAAAGGGAAGTCTAGGGAAGAGTTCCCCAGGATTGCATGGAAAGAAAGCAAGGAAGGGACTAAGATAGATGGCAAAAAGTAGTCAGCCCCTCAAGTACTGAGTCCCACATGCCTTCTAAGCATGACCTGCTGACACCAGGCAACATCCACTTCAAATACATGCTTTCCAAACATTTCCGGCCACTTACCGAGAATTAGCATTTCAATGGAATGGAGATGCTATCTGAGACTGATCAATTCCAGCAATCTCATAGGCTTAATAAACTTGTAGGACTGCCTGCAGGAAGAGTTGCAGGCACTCCATCTGCCTGTGGGTGGCGCCCCACCCCCCACGGCACCACAATGGGAAGTGGGCCTGATAGCAGCCAGAATTTGTGTCTCACCTCCCACCAGCAGCCTGCACTCGACCCCAGGCACCTGAAGCACAAGTCTCAGGGGACCACGCCCATCCTGGGGGGGGACCCCAAGGAAGCCCCCAGCATCTCTTGCATACACCACTGGCAGTGTGGGTACAACTGACCACCAGGAGCACACATGCCTGGGGAGGAGGGGCCTGCTCTGTTGCCTTCATCCCTGTTAAAACCCAGTATATGCAAGCCATTTGCACTATGGGATTGCATGCCATGAAGTTCCTAGTTGTGTGCACCGTAGTTTGGATTTGACATTATGTAGCATGCCCAAAAGAATGGGTGGGCTTGGGCTTGTCCTCAAGTCACCTCTACTGCTTGTTGGGAGCATGGTGCTCCCCTCTGCCAGCCGATCCCAGGTTTTGTGGAACCAGTGTGGCTCCAGCATCTCCCATCCACCGTCTCCCATCAGCCCATGCTCCCTTTCCCACCATCCTCTCACTTAAACTGATTGCTCACCAATTTGCACAAATGGGAATGTCATTATGACCATGTCCTAGCAGTAATTCCATCTTGATTTAAAGTATAAGCCCAAAGCCCACTTCTGGATTTCCTTGTTTAAAAAAAAAAAGACAAAAAAAAAGGCATGTAAGCACCTGTGTCCTGTGTTTATCAAGAAAGCTTTGAGTCCCTTAGTGGGATGGAGGGTGCATGAACAAGGGGGCATTTTCTCCCACACAATAAACTCACCAGATGTGTCCGTAGCTGGGAGAACGCAATGATTATATTCACAATAACTCAATATCACTGAGCAACCTCTCACAATAGATTTGTATAACCAATACGGGTCTATTTTTATGTCAACTCTGTAGAGCACCTTCCAGTCTTTTTCAAGATTGTTAAACTGAGACAAGTAATTAAATAATTTGTCCTATTTTTATTTAAAAAGTGAATGGACTGAGATGTTAATGTGAATGTACATTTCTTAACTGCAACTTTTCTACTGAGTGTTTGCACTATACTCTCCGGAGTCTTATTTAACAAAAATAAAAGAGAAAAATTGCTTGACTAAACTCTGGCCACTCTCATTGAAAGACAAATGTTTTGAAGCCGTTCCTTACTCTCTTCATGCACATTCATGGGGATGGGGATATTATTATTCAAAATGTTACATAAAGGCGTGTTCATTTTTACACCGCCAATCCTTCGCTCTTCCTGCCTGGATTTTAGTTATAGACTTCTGTGACTCTCAATTCAGATATTTCTGTGATAACATTTAAAGATTAACATGGGCTCTCCAGGCTTCTTGATGTCTGGGGTAGCCTGTCAGTAATATCACTTCTTGGGTCTTTCAGACATTCCTCTAGCTAAGGATTTTTTTTTTCCATTTTACTCTCTGTGAGGTCTGTGTCACCTTTGTATGCGCCAGGCTAGCACTCTGCCCTGTGTTGTATCCCTGCTCTCAAAAGATAAAAGACAAAAAGAAAAATCACCTGAGCACAGGTTAGGTTTCTTTCAAAAGTGAAAAATTAACCCGTCATGGGTCAGCAGAATGGTGAGGGATCACGTCCACAGTCACGCTGTCACTGAGGAATTTCTTTCAAGTTCTTTTCCTTTGTATGTTGTTTTAAAGTTCTCTAGGGCAAGAGGGAGGGAGGTGTGTGTGTGTGTGTGTGTGTGTGTGTGTACTCTGGTATCAAGGAGGAGTGCAAAAACAAAACTTAGCTTAAGGAACTGCCTCACATGACTGGGCTGGCGTGTCTGGAGCCTCAGGGAGACTGGGGAGGGACATAGTCTGCAGCTTGCATCTGAGTGCATGAGGCCACCCACCTAGCTGTGGCAGGTCACTGCTTTACTCTAAGCCCTTTTGTTTTGTTTTTTTAATAAATAACAGTCCCATGTAAAAAGTCCCTTCATAGCAACATCTCTATGGAGTCCAGACAGATGACTGGAGCATGGCCTAGTCAAAATGGCTCAGAATTAGTTATCACCATATATGATATACAGTTTTTCTCTGTTAAAGAGCTCAAACCCAAGGCAGGCATGTCACAGGACTAGAAATTAGTTCCCTGACCATAGTGTATGAGAAATGGGTGTGACAGTAAAAGATCAGACAGGGGCAAAACCCTCTCAGAGACTGAGGACATTGCAAGTTGGAACTGCCAGGAAGCAGAATAATGTTCTATATTTCTTGTAGGTTTCAGGACTGCTGTTTTGCAAAACACGGGTCTTGCATACTCAAATGATCCATGCTTGTCTCTAAGTAATCATTGTTGGCATCATCACCAAGGATCATTACTCATCAATTATCAGAGAATTGCTAATTTAGGCATCCTGCTATTTGAACAGCCTACCAGCTACACCTTCACAGGACTCAGCCTTGGAGTGGTGCCTCTGTCTCCTGGTCTCCATTTCTCACAAGCCAAGACCTCCTTACCACCCAGAAAGTGTCAGAACCCAAAGGGGACCTTGCATTGCCTGGATTGCCCATGAGTATCTTGCTTCAAACAGAGTGTGAACTAGCTACACTGACTGATTGGTGAAGTACCCTCCCAAATGGCATGTTTTAAATAACTTCCTAACATTTGTTTTGTTTGTATGTGAGAACATGAGCAGGTATTTTAGGTCAGAGGACAACGTGTAGAAGTCAGTTCTCTCCTACCGAATGGACTCCAGGGATCAAATTCAGGTTGTCAGCAGCAAGCACCCTTACCTCACTGAGCCATCTTGCCAGCCCCAAGAATGACATTTTAATCACTTCAGCTGAGTGTCTATGAGTAAAGAATACTCTAATTGCGCAAATAAACAGTAATCCAGAAAATACAATAAATAAATGTCGAGGAAAGTGTCTGTCACCCGGTCTTCTGAGGCCTGCAATTCTTTCTTTCAACAACACATTGCCCCAAACTGCTTCCCTGAACTCATTCTGTGTTTGAATTTCTCCCTCTTTAAAAAGCAAGGTTGATATAGAATTCTCTTGGCTACCCATTTGAATTGATTTGCATTCAAGTACAAACTTCAGAAATAGTTCTCATGGAAAGAGTTTATTTTTAATAATGAAGATTGGAAGGACTTTTCTCTGATGCATTCATCTCCATGCTACACAGTTCTAATCAGGTTTTAAAAATAGTATTCTGTCTTATTTGAAAAGTTAATAAAACTCTGACAATCTCAAGACTGCCTTTATAACCAGATAATTATACAAATGAAAATAGGGAATTACTTTAATAGGGAGTGGCTTGTAAAACATGCAGATGTTTAAATATAAAGTAAATGGTAACTTATAGAGAGCATCACGTGGAATTTGAAAAGTTCCTGTCACCGCTGCAGCTGCTGGCCTGCTCCTGAAAGCGGACAATGAAACCTGTTACCTGTGGCTCCAAACAGGTAGCCTTGGACCCCACATACTCCTAGACTCTATTCTTTTATCAGGGCTTCCTTCTTTTGACTTCGCTATCTATAGCGCTAACCTTTCACCTGCACACTGAGGACAGGACAGGCAGGGCGTGGAGAAAAGTGCACTGGAAACATAAACATACATCTGCTTTTAGCAAGAAAACAGCAAACACACCCAAGAATAAAACTGACCTCTGCATTTCAGTGGCCTCATGTTTGCACAAGGAGGCCAGCCTGGGAGTGCTAGAGGTCAGTCCTGTGTTAGCTAAGGCTCCATAGGTGAGCATCTAGTGTCTCCTCCCTTACATTACCTGGAGGTACAACCACCACCTAGGGCTGGGTTACTTAGCAGAGACAGAGCATGGGGAGAAAATGGGCAAGCTTAGCAGCTACCCAGGCTACCACAGGGGGTCTCTTCCCTTGCCCACCCCCACAGCACAGCCTTGAGCGGCACCTGCAGTTAATTGTGTAGGTATCTAGAAACCAGAGTTTTCTAACCATGCTGCCCTGGAGATGAGTGGGGGAAATCAATCCAATCCATTGCTGAGGCGACTAAAACACAAACCCGAAACTGTACTCTTTCCCAGTTTCTCCCACCCTTGGGGCACACACACCAACCCCCTTCTCTCCTTCTGTACCAGCCCTAACCCCACCCAGAAGACCTTGTTCTCTGTCTGTCTGTCCTCTCCACCATGCGCAAGCTCAGAGCTTCAGTCAAACCACAACTTGCTCTTGGCTAGTATTTCAGAACTCCATGGCTCATTTCCCTTCTGGTCCCCTCTCACTGAAGGCCTGAGTGAATTCAGCCCAGAGAACCAGGAGGTTCCCAGTACATGTGGCTTTCCCAGGGCAGAGGGAGCCGGGCCAGCACCTGCTGGGTCCATACACTTTGTATTGTACCTTTTAAGTTTTTGTCCGTTTTCAGATAAGGAAAACTAGGGTCAGAGGAGCAGAGCAATTGCTCCTGAGGTCAAAGCCAGGGAGCAGAGGGCACAGGGTTCAATCAAGCCCAGTGACCTCTTCAGGAACACGAAGAATCTCATTTTCTTTCAAACTGTCAACTCTGTCCCTTGATGCCTTGCCCCCAACCTCCCTACAGGCCTAGGCAATCCTTCCCCCCACCTTAAAGTGTGGGTAACAAGGTCTGCTCCCACGTTACACACCTGGGTCAACTGGAGTACCTGGTGTAGATCAAGTCATGCCAAGGCAGCAGGGTCCTGGGCATCTACACTGACTGTGCCCTGGGTTTGGTTGGGGAGCTCAGTGCTAAGGACCCCCTCTTGGATGGTAAGCTCATGATGGACGGCCTCCTCGATCTCCTGAAGCATCTGGGCCTCCCATTGCTGTAGGCGCTGCATCTGTGTAGAGAAAGACAGCAATCTGCAGAACTGCCGTTGCTATTGGTAACCAACGTACACAATGCAGGGGCGGGGGGAGGCTGGGAGTGCCCAGCCGGCCTGAACACTCGTCCAGGTCAGAGACACCAGTCAAACCCACAGGGTTCCCCCTCCCTGTCTTCATTGTGTTACCCTAAGTGTGGAGAATGGGTGGATCCCAGACCTAGGCTTTCACAGTCTCAGGAGAGGTCAGCCCCTGAAGCTTACCAGAGTAAGGGTCTAAAACCTGCAGAGGGTGAGGCAGAAGGCAGAGGTCCTGCCACGGAAGCGGCTGGCTGTACTGATCTCTGCTACCCTAGAGGTTAGCACTCTCAGGAAGGATTCAGGGGAGAAACGGGCAGGAAGAAAAATCCCCCTGAGCTTCCCTATGCAGGCTTCCAGCGGTCAGTTAATAGATGTGGGGGTTTGGAACTGGGGTCTGTGCACAGGAAGTGGAAGCAGGCAGACAGCATGAGTTTGTTGTCTGAGATGGTCTCGGTCGTGCCGCCTAGGCTGGCCTCTGCCTTCCAGCTGTCCCTGACACCTGCTCTGCTTTGGTCACTGCTCCTGCCAGGATGCTTCTGGTGCTCACCCAATCTTCAGGGCTCCGGTACAGAGTGGCCCTGGCATCAGGAGAGGCAGAAGCACCCCAGGGTCAGGCAGGGGTTAAGTGTGGCTTGTGCTCTTGCTCTGTGAGTCTGTGAGAGTGGGCCATCTCTGTCCCAGTGCTGTGGCGAGGGAAGGGCCTGGGGCAGCCCAGCCAGGCCCTGAGAACTCGGGACCCTCTCAGATGGTGACAGCATCCTGCTGTGTGTAGGCACAGGTCAACGTGCAGTAAAGAGCCTCGACGGCCCTCTAGAAGAACCTATGTGGTGAGGTGACAATGGGAAAATCCGGTCAGCGACTTCTCTACCGAACCCTCAGTACTGAAGACGCTTCTAATGCCTGGATGCCCGTGAGCTACAGACCTGGGACAAGGAACAGCCAGAGCCTGCACTGGACTGGGCTTGCAGAGCCCAGGGCTGGGAAGTCATGGTATCCACAGGCAACAGCATCCACAGCATCCCTTTCTGAGCAGAAAGCTGTCTCGAGAGGGCTAAGCATCGGGTGTCAGGGAAGCTGGAAGGCCTTGCGGCCTCATATGCAGATGTGGACACCTCATGCTTGGGGCCACCTGAGTGATGGAAGGTAAATGCCCCTCACCCCCACAACCACTGCTGGGAAGCGCAGAGGGACTTAGGGCTCCCTACAGACAGGGCTGGGAGGCAGGACACCTACTGCAGCTGCCCGCTTCTTTGGGTCTCGTCTCCTCTGCCAGGTGGTGTCTGAAATTCCAGGCATCCCTGTGTTCCTTGGCCAGGTCATTTCCTGCAGGGTCTCTATCTTCTGACGCTGTTTCTTATTCAATGAGGCTGACGTGCATGATTCTTCCTCTGCAGCTAAATGGTCTGAATGGGGCTCCACCTGCTCCCTGGAACTCTCTAAGTCCTCAACAGTTGAAAGTCTCTTTTTCCTGAAGGTCCCCAACAGCTGGGGATCCTGGGAGGAGTCTTCAGGTACCAAGGACCCGTAGTGCTGGAAGTTCCTTCCTGGGGCCCTTGGGCTCCAGCCCGTAGCCATCTCCTGAGAAGTGCTGTGCATGGCAGGATTCTTCCAGTCTGGCCTCCTTGTCGCTAGATAGGAGCTCAACTCAGGAACCTAGAGATAAAAACACAAATCTGGGTTGTAGACAAAGCCAGCCATCAGTAGGAACTCAGAGGGGCTTCTATTATGTAGAGGCCAGGATGTTCCTGAGTCTTCAGCATCAGGCTGGGAAGGCTGGTCTGGCCCTAGCTAGGAATAACTAGCAAGCAGAAGTCCAAGGCTGACTAAGCTGTGTGGTGTGGGGGCTCCAGGCCAGGCCATGGTGCCATGACCCATCTAACGGAGCACATCCAGGGTCTACAGCAGTTTCTCATAGGATAGTGACTCCTTTGGGCATAATAGGCAGGCAGCCTAAGATGAATCTGCAGGACTAAGGACACCCCTCTGTAGCCTACCTGTGTGTCGGACTCCATGCCGTTTTCCCTCTGAAATGGGTATCCTTGCTCAGTTACAGCACTGGGCTCTTGGAACCAGAGTGCTCAGACATAACGCGGGGCAACTGTTCCCGCCAAGGCCTGGACAGGTGCATGCAAGCACGTGGTTGGCGGTGCACAGCTGGGGGTGGGCTCATCAGCCTGAGCGTGTTCACCTGGCTGGTTTCTCCTGCACGTGCTGAGGATTACCTTAGAAGGCCCCAGTGTTCTCGCCACACAGAGGACTGTTAGGCCACCTAATCCAACAGAGAACAAAGATGCATCAGACAAGCTGGGAGTGCTGGACTCTCAAGCAGGTCTGTGGCAGAGGACTCCTCGCCCTCCCCTTCGTGGCTCTCAGATTTGAGTTGCTAGAGCCCAGAAGACTGGGCCAGCCAAATTCCTGATTAAGCTAATTAGCATGGGTCTTATAATCAGGTTCCTAAGGATTCCCAGATGATGACACCAGGTGGAGCCAGGATAGCAACCGAGTCAATCCCAGCCTGCACCAGCACTGAGCTCCCAAAGGGTTTATGACATCCTTGAGAGGGATTTTACACAGAAGAAGCGGGTCTTCAGAGCGGGCAAGCACGCTAGTAAATCTTGGCATGGGGGAGCCTGAAGTGCCTGTGAGAACGGAAGACAGACGGTAGTTTTAGTATGTTTCCCAGGCTCGCCTTGAACTCTTAAACTCAAGGGGTTGCCTTGCCCTCTGGTCTCCAGAGGTGCTAAGACTATAGGTGTGGACCACTGGGTCCCACCAACTGTTTTAAATTTACCTCCTGCCTCCCAGGTACCCTAGATATTACTACTTTGATTTAAGCTATCTTTTAATTTTAGGTTTTGTTTGTTTTTTGAAACGGGTCTCACTATGCAGCCTTGACTGGCCTGGAAACCCCTGATGTTGATATTAAAGACGTGTGACACCACATTGGGCTTGAATCTCTTTTTGAATATGTGACTATATTTCTAATTTTAAGTGGTAGCATGTTATACCTTCTATTCTATAGGCTTTCTCATTTGACAAATAAGGATCCTCTCGAAAGTGCACACATTTATCTGCATGTGTACACATACGAAAACACCGTGTGCTCATGCACATGCTCACACACATACTACTTCAGAGTACCCCTTTCTTTAGATGTATTCCAATTTTCTCCATCTGTGTCTTTTCTGGCTGTGCATGTCATCTTGCTGGGCACTTAAAAATAACATTCCATACAATTAAGAGGCAACTTAATCTGATTTCCCTGTGGCATGTTCAAGAGAGTAGGATTGCTGGTTCAAAATCAGGTACATATTTTGAAACTTACAGCACATTAATGGCAAACTTGCACCCCCAGAGGGCTATACCTCCAGAGCCCCACCAGCAAAGCAACACAGTGCTTGCCAGCAGCCTGCAGCGCTGACACCTGTGGAGAATTAGCCAGCTGTGCTTGCTGTGTCCAGGGCAAATGAGCCCCACCGAGTCTCCTATCTGCTCCCATCTTGCTCCCTGGCCTGTCTTGAGGGATCTTGGTCTCTCTGTCATAGATGCAGTCCCCAAAGTGAAACCTGGAGGGTGGGTGTGTACACTACAGTCTCAGCTCTGTCCCTGCCGGGTGCTGAGTCCATTCGATGTCCCATGGCTGTCTGCATTTATAGGGGTTTCAAGGCTGGAAAAGCCACCTTGTTTTCCTGAGAGAGGAGATATCAACAGAAACCCTCTACATCTTAGTGACAAAGCTCAGAGAAGCCGTGACTACCCCACAGACTTCGTAGAAAGGATGAAAAGCACATGCTAGCCTCAGACCTCTCCAGGGTGTTCACTTGGTGCTAAGTGCCCCAATCTGTCTCCAGCAGTGTGCCCCATTCTCTGGCCCTCTCTCCTTCATTATGGGGCAGATGAGCTGCTTTGCACTGGAGAGCTTTGGGAGACAGAGTATGTCTAAGAACAACCTGTCACAGGTAAGTCCTCTGGATGGTCAATAGCTTATGTCTTCACAGTCACATTTGGTCTTTATGTAAATAATGTTTTGAAGTTGCCTAAAGATGTTCTGGGCTGTTTCTATCCAGGGGTTTTAACTTTTTGGCTGCTATTTTTAGGAACAGTAAGTAGGAGAAACATAGTAAAACCATTCTTCTGAGAGGAAGAAAGGAAGAAGGGAGGGAGGGAGGGAGGTAAAGAGGGAGGAAGGGAGGGATGGAAGGAAGAAAGGAAGGAAGGAAAAGAGGGAGGGAAGAAGGGGTGACAGCTACACCACTTGGTTCTACGTCACATTTCCCCGAAAAGGTAGTGTAATGAGCACATGCTAATTTTAAATAGTAAAGCTCTCTGTCTAGTGAAGCTGCTATGGGCTTCCCTGTCCCCCAGGCTCTGCTGCGTAATGTGACTGAACGAGCGATGTGTTTCTGGACACGTCCTTGAGCTCCTGACAGCGCACGAGTTTCCGACAAAGTCACTGTGTCACCACAGGCTTAGCAGTCCAAGGCAAGGACTGGTCAGACCATATGACAAGTGTTTGTCACAAGTATGACTCGTGGCCCCAGAACTGGCCTTCAGAGATAGCTGTGTTTTGGTCCTTCCAGCTAAAATCTGCATGCGGAGGGACTTTTCATGGAGACGTATTAGTAAGTCTTGGCATGGTAGAGCCTGGGTGCCTGTGGAACACAGAGGATGGAGGCAGAAGGGGCAGGTGTCGCACCTGCACAGGTCTCCAGGGTGGGGTCTTTACTCTCACAGGGGAGGAGAAAGCATGAATGACTTCCCTGAGACCCATTCAAAGCAGAGTCCAGTCTGAGAGGAGAAAATAGTGACCCAGCTACCTACCATAGTTACCTATGTTTTCTTCAAGGTGGACATGACCTTTTAGTGTGTGTGTGTATGTGTGTGTGTGTGTGTGAATACACACTTATACATATACAATATGCATATGTATATATATATATTCTTATGTAGCAGGCATTGGTTAATTTGCCAAAGGAGAAATCGAAGAAAAGGCATGTCAAATAATCTGTTCAAGGTCATAAGGATGTCATGACCTAGCCTAACCCACCTCAGAGTCCTCAGTCAAGCACAAGACTTAACACACCAGGCCACATAAGGACTTCTACAGTCTCTCAACCTTCTGGCTCTATGGTTTCTTTTCTGAAAATGCAATTAATGTATTAAATAACATTATAATAGAATGGTTTGATATGGTTTCAGAGAACTGAAAAATAAAAGACCGCTTTTTAAAAGTGGTCAATATGTACTCGGTGGCTAGTTACCTGTAATTCATATCACACTAATGGCTAATGGGATTACAAAGCAAGCCTGGCCTTCACGCTAGCTGCCTGGAGGGGATAACATGCACTGAATTCTCTTGGAGAACACAAATGGTTCTTGCTGTTTCAATAGCCAGGAAGTTGAATTCACATATCTACCTTAAAGAGAGAAAAGGCTATGATGGATTTGAAACTAGAAAAAAGTAGCTTTGTATGCTTTTTCCATGAGTGGTGTTACTACAGACCTTCTCACTGTGTCTCCGTTATACTCTTTAGAATTTTCTTCCACTCTTCATGGTTTACACATAGATATGAATACACTATAGGCTAGGATTCACGTGTAATTTGTTTCCATCCCCTTCTGACACCCAAATGCAACCATTATCCCTGAAAACTCCATTCCTCCCTGCCCTAAAGGGGTGGCTTTAAGGGAGGCAGGGGTCAGAGGAGTGCTGCTGGCTCTGAACATAAGCGTGTATCAGAACCCTGGACACTGGTTAAAACAGAGTGACAGGAAAGCAGGCTTTGGCGGTCTGGCTTTGCTATCCAGGATGTCATCTGCCTAGACCTCCATCCATTACAGATGTGAGTAATCAAGAGTGCCTGGCCCCAGGAAGAGAAGGACAATGAAATACTATGTTTGTATGCTTTCCTTGTGCCTGGGGGGCACTTAGTATCTGCTCGCTCAGACTAATTTCAACACACCCCTCAAATACACTGGGAAGGGGGTGTCAATGCCCAGAATGGAGCTGAGGTTTTTTGTCGAGGGTCCCTAAACACTGGTCCTAGGCCCGTCGCTCTCACTCTGTGTTAGCACCTGGGCTCTTCCCAAGCTAGGGTGTGTAGAGGTGAGCTATTCCCCACCCCCAACCTTTCTTCCAGACTGCGCAGTGGTGCCTTTCATCTGTCCAGGAGATAGGGCAGCAGGCCAGGCCCTTGCATGGGTTTACATCATCCCATGTTGATCATGGATGGTGGCAGAACATCCTTTTGTGTTTCTCCCTGGTTCAAAACAATCGCCCTTTTTTGATTTCCCCTGGATTGCAGCACTCTCCCCTTTGAAAGTCCCCCTTTGCCCTTGACTCTTGGATCATTTTTTCCAGAGCCCAGATTGCCTAACTTCGTAGCTGCCTGTGTGTAAGCAACGCCCTGCATGGAGGCAGGACTGGGAACAGTGTGTGATGGAAGACCTTCCATGCTGTCATCATCACAGCTTCCGGTGGCCGCAGCCGAAGAGCCCATCCACAGGCAACTCAAGGAGCTCTCAGCTCACAGTTTTGTAGCAGCCAAGGGCCCCTTCAGCTCCTCCTTACAGCCGCGGTTGTGTGATACCCCAGGGTGAGGAAATTCAAGGTGAAAACGCCAGCTTCTGCTCCCGTAAGACTCCCCTCTTCTGGTGCTAATACAACTGTGGGAGCTGAGGTTTTCACAGGTGCTATTCAACAGCGTTGTAGAGGCTGTCAGAACAAAAAGGCAGAGGTGTGAAGAATCATGAGGGAGATGCCTGAGTGTCCACACAGCTCCATCTGGAGTATGGACTGGGATTGTCGTGCAAATATCTCTGTGGACCCTTGCTAATACCTTTCCTCTGCGGTACGCTGGATTTACAAAAACAGAGGAGGAGGGAATGCCTGTGTGTGCAGGAAATGCACAGGCTCTGATCTGGATAAAGCAGGAGTTTCCCCTAGCTATTCATACTGAGAGTTGCTAGGCACCCCAGCTGTGTGTCATAAGCACCCACAAGACACTGGACAGGCAGGGTGGTACGTGCCCAGAATGGCAGTACTTGGGAGGTGGTGGCAGGAGGATCAGGAGTTTCAGACCAGCATTAGGTACGTAATAAGTTCAAGGACAGCCCAAACAATGCGAGACCTTGGCCCAATAAAACAAAGCAGCAACAATACCAAAAATCAAAACAAAACAAAAACAATGGTCTAATGCTCTGATAGCCCTGGTGGCTGCTAGCCTGGCAGTCATGAATCTTAGCTCTTGAAAGGCACAAGCCTTGTAGGACACCCATCACATCCCTGATGGTTACTCCAAATTCAAGTTCTTCTAAAGGCTTTTCCAGGTCAGCATGCTCAGACCCCTGAGTATTCTGTGCTTCCAGGCAGAGAGAATTGCTGGCTATTCTCAGGACCTACTGAGCTCTGTGGCTTCTTTTGCCTTCTGTTCTCTCTGTCTGTCATGTGTCTTACCTCTGCTGCTTGGAGGACCTCACTTTCCCTCCAAGAGCAGCTGTGCCATGTCCTTGTCTTGAGGTGCCCAGACTTTCCGGATGCTCTCTTCCTCCTTGGGCAGCACAGGGTGAACTTAGGGCTCCCCCATAGACCGTCATCTTGCTGGGCTGTGAGCATGATAGCTTGTGTTTGGGACATCGGTCACCCCTCTTCCCTGTGTCTGACTCTCTGTCTCACACTGAAGTCTGTTCTCTCTGCCCCACGGCGTGGTGAGGAAGGGCGTGCAGAAAAGAGGCTCAGGGGGCAAACATCTAAGAAGCTGGGAGGGAGTGTCATCTGTCACTTGATGTCACAGCAGTCTTGAAGGACAGCTCCTGGGGGAGACAGACACCATGGACAAAGATATAAAGTTAGAGGGACACTGGGAATCCCAGTAGGAAAATGCAGGGTCCCAGTGCGGCAGCAAAACTGTGTTGCTTTCAGGGAATAAGCACGGGGGGGGCGCCTCACTGGAAAAAGAGCGGGTTTCCTAGGTCCAGGGTTAGAGGGAGGCAAGAGAAGTGGCCGAGTCAAGCTGTGACTCAGGAGATGGGCCAGTCACCCCACCCCACGCAGCCCCGGCCAATGAAACTGCAGTCTACATAGGGCTGGGGGTGGCATGGGGGGCTGATTTCATTTGTGTTGACAGAGTTGGGAATCAATATGGAGTTTGGTGGCTGTTTGGTTTGTGTGCCTGTGAGGTAAGCAGTGGAAACATTGGGGAGATCGATCACCGGAGAGGAAGAAGAGGTACTGTGTGCAGGGGCAGGGGAGGGGCAACTGTGTGTGCTGGCCAAGAGCACAGCAGAGGAAAACTCACTACTCGGGGCCTTCCTGCCACAGAGTCCCAATATTTGTCAGGGTTACGCCTTCCCTGTGTTTCATTAAGGAAACATTTCAAGCGTGGACAGTGATTGCAAGTTGAGGAAGTCAAAGGGAAACTTAGGAGCATAAGTTCCACTTACAGAAATAAACTTATTTAGGGACTTATATTCAAGGTGTTCATTTAAAATAACTTATAATTAAATGCTAGGGGCTGGAACAATATGGTGTACTGTTCTTGTTGAGGACCCGAATTCAGTTCCTAGCCCCCGTGTTGGTGGCTCACAATGACCTGGAAGTCCATGTGGCTCTGACGCCCCCTTCTGGTCTCCAAGAGCACCTGCACTCACATGCACACAAACTCTTCTGCCGTGCACATACACAATCAGAAATAAAGTCTTTAAAAAGAGAGTGTTTGTTTAAAATAAAAATGCCTCAAAATGGGAACCATTTGATCAATTCCTTAACAAGTCATTGAACTTGGGGCACCTTTGTCAGAGGAAAAAAAAAAGGTATAGCCGGATGTGGTAGCACGCTATTTGATCCTAGTATCCAGGAAGCTAAGGCAGGAGGATTGCTTTGTGTTCCAGCCCAGTCCACACTGTATAGTGAGACCCTGCTTCAAATAAATGCATTAGCAAACAGACAAAAATGGCAAGAGATACACTAATGAGGCTGTGAGTGTCTGGGAGCAGGCTTGTCCCCTGACCTTACTCCAGTTGCTATGGCAGATGTTGACCCAGCTGCATTTCTTTGAGACTGTCCAAGTTGAAAAAAAGCCAGCTTTGCCAAGTTCAGTCACTTTTATGAGGCCAGGGAGGTGGGGGATGGGTATCAGGGTAATCCCATATTCTTTTTTCAGGCCTGGGGATTTGAACCGGGGGCCTTGCGCATGCCAGGGAAGCCTTCCATCCCTCACCTGGATCTGCAGCCCACTGTGATTATTTTTATATATCATAAGCACATCGTGGAGATCTAGAAGGCTAAGAAAGGGCATAGGAAAAACCAGTGTGTCCTCAGGCTCTTAAATCATGCCCTGCCCGGGTAGTCATCCTGCCCATTGTTCTGCGTTCTTCTCAAGGCATTCAATAACATTCAGAATCACAGCTGCTCCTGTGCACTGAACCTCCCAATGTTTCTTAGTATGGAGGTTTTCTTTAGCTGAAGAAGCCTATGGTAAAGGTTCTCTTGTAGGAAACACAGAATCAGCTGTCTGACTGGACATCGAGGCTGTGTCTGGGACAGCTTTAGGGTCTCATCATCTGCAGCCAGGGGTGTACACAGACCCCTGCTGTCTGGGCTTCAGAGCCCCTTTCTCTTCCCAGCCAGCTCCTTCGGTGAGGTCCACAGCGGCATTGGAAGCAAGCTGGCAAATGCCCGTCCCTCTCTGGTGACTCAAGAAGGGTGCTGGTGTGGTTGGATGGGAACGGTCAGGCTGCACCCGTTGCCTGTTGCCGTGTGGTGGACTCACTTGCCTAAGTCCTCTACACCTCCTGAGGCTCCCCAGCCCTTTACCTGGAGTAATCTTGTGCATTCCCATCTCCCACCTGAGAGTTCTCTCTCCTGACAGGTGCTCTGCTGCTCGCCGGGGGCCCGCTGGCCCATCTCCCTGGCCATTGGCATTGTATTTCTTATCTGTAGCTCGAAGTCAGGAACCCGCCAGTCACCATGATATCTCCCCTCATGCCTGCTCTGTAGCGGGGCAGCTACACTGGTTCCTTTGAGTGTAAGAATGACCGTCGGTAGGTCAGTGTGCATGAGTTTAGAGTGCTTTAGTCAAGTTACTCAGAAACCCATCTCCCGAGGCTCAAATGCAGGGACCAGTAATAAACTGCTGGGTAACAGGGATGTGCGTTTTTGTTCAGGATGTCCAGGGCGGTCTCTGTGACACTGGCCTGAAATCTCCCGCAACCTTTGTCTTCAGTGTCCCCTCTTGAGACAGGGGCTAAAGTTGAGGTCTCCACGGCCTCAGGTCTGAAATATCACTCTTAAAAGATCTCCAGGGGCTAGGCTGGTATAAGAACCGGGGTAGAACACTTGGGCAGTTTGCAGGATTCCACCCCACTCCAAAGCAATACCATGAAGGGCAAACAGGAGGGTCCAAACCTTTGCTAGAGGCTGGATGTTCTGAGTTAGGATGTTCTGAGGATGTTGGGTCAGGAGGTAGAGGTGAGGCTGGGTGGGAGGTGAAATCTGGACCTGGGACACAGAAGACACAAGACACTTGGGCAATTCGGGAGCTCATCAGTTTACTCTGGGGAGCTTGGGGGAACCTCCAGGGTGTGTCCCATTCCTGGTTGCCCTCCAAGGTTCCTAAGTTTGCCTTGTAATATAAAAGAAAGAGAAAGCTCTCATAGGTGATCACAGATGAGCATCTCACCTAAGCTAGAACTAGACTGACTCCATAGTCACAGAAACAGGTTCCTGAGGCCCTGGGCCCTTCTCCTCTATAGAGGAAGGGTCATTTTTCTGAAGCCTTCCTGGCCTAACGTGTCCTTCCTTCGTCTCTTGGGCTTTCCTTGAGTTCACTTGAAAAGCCTGGTCGGCTAGGTCTTTGATGCCCCTTGAACAAAAACAAGTGCCCTCCCCCATATGGTTACCAGCCTGCTGTTAGAATTGGACTTTTGCTCCTGTCCCAGATCATCACAACAGGGCAAACATAGTAGGAAACCTGATGCTTTTGCCCCCTCCCCCTTCCCCTCCACCCACGGTTTGCGCAGAGCTCACAAGCAAAACAAACTTATTTTGAACACTGGGATCCTAGCACGCTGTCCTACAATCATTAACCTGTGCCTTGGAGCCAGCCCTTTATAAGGCTCTGGGTACAACCAGCCAGCATCGTCCACTGCCCGCAACCACACATCCAGCGAGCATTGAACACCGCACACGGCCATCTGCCCAGAGAGCTGTGACCACGGTTGTTGTCACTACCGCCTGCCCAGAGAGTTGTGAGCACCGCGCCACTGTTGCCTGCCCAGAGAGTCTGATCTGCTGCCTGCTGCCCTGGGTTGCGATGCCGGAGTTCCTAGCTGTGGTTTCTTGGCGGTTCCTGATCCTCCTAGCCTTTCAGGTTGGCGTGACCACTGGCGCCTCCCAGCCATGGCGCTGCGCTCCCTGCACTGCCGAGAGACTGGGACTCTGCCCACCCGTGCCCGCTTCGTGCCCTGAGATTTCCCGGCCTGCTGGCTGTGGCTGCTGCCCGACATGTGCCTTGCCACTGGGCGCCGCCTGCGGGGTGGCCACTGCCCGCTGTGCCCAGGGACTCAGTTGCCGTGCCCTGCCAGGAGAGCCTCGTCCCCTGCATGCCCTCACCCGCGGCCAGGGAGCCTGTGTACCAGAGCCTGCTGCCCCTGCCACAAGAACCTTGTCTAGCTCCGAGCGTGAAGGTACGGCCCTCTCTACCTCTAGATCTCTTGGCTGGGACACACTCACTGCCTAGGCCAGCAGAAGTCTGTCCCAAGCCTATAGTGGGTGGGACAAAGACATTCCCGGCTTACTAAAAGCTTTCAGCTGTCACCCATTGAGGCCCATCGTTGATTGGTCTTGGCCGGGGGGGGGGGGGGGCGGGGAGGTGTCCGAGTGCCCAGTGCTTAGTGGAGAGCTGGGAAGAAAGTTCACAGACTAGTAGTACTTGGTCTCTCGGTGGGGTGGAGGGAACGGTCCACACACCTAACCCCTCCTCCCGTGGCTTCTGCCCCTGGCAGTTCCAGCGGCTGGAGGATCCTGGAAGGTTTAGGATGGGAGCCCTCCCGCTGCCCCCAGGAGGCTCGCAATGTCCTTTGTAGCATATATCCTGCTACAGTATGTGCTTACCAGATGTTTACAGAACATAATGTGAACATTTAGGCCCAAACCTTCACTTCCACTCATTGCTATAGACAAACAGTGTTTGATGTGTATGTTGCCTGCTAGAGTCTGACAATCGGGCGCTTTCCTGAATTTAAGCACTGGTTTGTTTGTAGTAGGAAGCTTGGGAAATGCCTCTTCCTCCGCTCCAGCGCCTATCTCCCCATCTGGGCTGCATGCACGTCCTGTGTGGGTGTGGAGGGCTCTCGTGCTCTCGTGCTCTGATGGGAAGCGGTGCTGTATGTAAATGAAATGAGGGCTATCCCAATGGTGGGTCCTCTGAAATGGACTTCCCCTCAACGGGGCGGGGCTCCTCAATTGTTTCTCCCCATGAGCCTTTATAGGCTGCTGAAGGGGTCTAAAGATGCCCTTCTCTGAGGGGTGCAGAGCTGATGATGTGTGGGAAAACAGGGTTCCAGTAGAGAGGAGGGTGGTGGTCTGGGTGAGGAAGGCTGCCTCCTAGACCTTGCTTCTAACTGAACTACATCTATGCCTGGGGTCTTACTAGACCATTTTTGTAGAGCAGAGGACAGCCAAGGGATCGAGTCTCACTTCTAATGGGTTTAGGCATTGACCCTAGTCCTCGGCGTCTTCAGGGTTATAGTCCTGCCTCCCCCCCCAGTTGTCCATATGCTTACTCTGCCCCGGGGCTCTCCTGCCTCACCCTGACATGTACTGGTTTCTCAGAAAAGAATTGGAATTGCTCTTTAGTCCTAATTGCTCCCAAAAGCCACTGGTGAAAAATCCAATTTCACTGGGCCATTCTAGGTTGGTTGGTTCTAAGGGGAAGGTGCCCCGGGCACAGGAGCGATGCTTCCAGGAGCTCATGGGTCTGTGATGCCTGCTTTGCAGAGGCAAAAGCTGCTGCAGCACCCGAGGATGAGCTCCCCGAGAGCCCCGAGATGACAGAGGAGCAGCTGCTGGAAAGCTTCCATTTGATGGCCCCCTCCAGTGAGGACAGGCCCATCCTGTGGAATGCCATCAGCACCTACAACAGCATCCGGGCCCGACAGATCACTGACCTCAAGAAATGGAAGGTGAGACCCTGCAGTGGACCCTCGGGTTTGTCCCAAGTGAAAATGTTAGTCTGGACAACGTCTGGAAGGCCCTGAGCATACTGAAACTGAGCATAGAGGCTCTGCTCCTCCATCACTCCTGTGTTTTTGCCTCCTTAAAAATATGGCAAAATGCACAGAGCATAAAATAGGCCATCCCTAGTCTGGGTTCCTTTGTCACTGCATTCAGCAATTGTCCCCACCCTCCAGCTCTGTTCTTCCCCCTCCAATTCTCAACCCAGGTAGAGCTACTCTAGTTCAGTGGCTGGTTTTAATGTGACCACTTGGGGGCGACAGAGGGCCAAAGTTTGAGATAGATTGTCCCAGAGGCTTTAAAAGAAAGCATGCACATTTTTTTTTAGAGACACTTTAGAATTTCATTTAGAAATTATAGCAAGTATAAGAAATCTCATTCTGGTCCTAAGCTATCCAGATGAGTGCATTGCTCCACAATGAATGTGACATATGTCAATTGCAAGGACAGTTCCACAATCTAGGTATTTCTGATGCTAAATCCCACACACAGAGATCGAATCCACTGTCATTCCTACTAGAGTGCAGGTGTCTAAATTACTCAGCATGGGGCAGGGGTCAGGAAGCATGTTATACCATTGGCCAGACCCTTGCCGGGATGTCACTAAGCGGGTCTTTAGAAAATGCCACCCAGTGAGGATGCAGATGTCATTCCCATCCCTTACACACACATCTCAAGCCCTGAGACCAAGCTGTCCCACTCACAGATGGGAAACAAGGCCTGGGACCAGCCCTAGAATACCATGACTGGCTGGTGGGGCCACTCCTCTGTCTCAGCCATTGTCTAAAGTAAATCTTCTTTCTTGTGTTCTTGCTAATATAAAATTACTCTTTTAGGAGCCCTGCCAGCGAGAACTCTATAAAGTGCTAGAGAGGTTAGCTGCAGCCCAACAGAAAGCAGGAGATGAAATCTACAAATTTTATCTGCCAAACTGCAACAAGAATGGATTTTACCACAGCAAACAGGTAGGCGGCTCTGCTACTGCGTGCTCTCGCCCGCCAGGCTCTCCTCCTCCTCATCCCTGTAAGGCCTCATGGAGTTTACGTCCAGTGATTTATAGGCACCCATGCATAACATGGATGACTCTCTTACGTGAGAGCCATCCCTGCACAGCTGGGAGAACCTAGTCCCGAGAAAGAGGTAGTGTGAGGGATGAGGGGCGCTTCACCTCGTAGGGAGGACTGAGTGTTCGTGTGAGGGATGAGGGGCGCTTCACCTCGTAGGGAGGACTGAGTGTTCGTGTGAGGGATGAGGGGCGCTTCACCTCGTAGTGAGGACTGAGTGTTAGTGTGAGGGATGAGGGGCGCTTCACCTCGTTGGGAGGACTGAGCATTGTATGATGAGCAGGGAGCACTTCAGCCAGTAGTGAGGACTGAGTGTTCGTGTGAGGGATGAGGGGAGCTTCAATCGTAGGGAGGACTGAGTGTTAGTGTGAGGGATGAGGGGCGCTTCACCTCGTTGGGAGGACTGGGCATTGTATGATGAGCAGGGAGCACTTCAGCCAGTAGTGAGGACTGAGTGTTCGTGTGAGGGATGAGGGGAGCTTCAATCGTAGGGAGGACTGAGTGTTAGTGTGAGGGATGAGGGGCGCTTCACCTCGTTGGGAGGACTGGGCATTGTATGATGAGCAGGGAGCACTTCAGCCAGTAGTGAGGACTGAGTGTTCGTGTGAGGGATGAGGGAAACTCATGAGGGGCTACCTTCACTCCGATCAACAGCGATTGGTGCTCTAAATGCTGACACTCAGGTTTCAGTTCCTTGCAACTTGGGGAAAGGAACACAGTCAACTCAGGAGACAAATGTCCCGCCTTCTCTCTTCCCATAAATTAAAACTCTGTAGTAAAGTACAGTAGAGCTTTGTGCTACGCCCAATAATACCTGAGATCCAGCAAGTCAAGGCTCAATTCTGAGGAGATTTTAGTTAGGACTCAGAGAAGTGAAACTTCTGGGATTTCATTGAGAAAACCTGAGGCCTAGGCCCAGCTGAGCGACCGAGGTGATTAATCAATGAGCCCCATTGCTGGGCTCCTTTGTCAGCAGGGCCACGAGGAGATAATTGCCAAAACACTGTACCATTGAGTGAATGTACCTGGTCGTTATCACGTGTGCCACTTAGCCAGTGTATCCGTTTTGTCATGGCAACCAGAAAGGCATTGACACTGCTGAGTGTTAGCTAGTAGGTGGCTGTGCAGAACTCAGCCTCACTCAGGGACCGGACGGGGTGGCCAGAGCCCCCAGGGCCTCACTCAGGGACGGGACGGGGTGGCCGGAGCCCCCCACGGCCTCACTCAGGGGCGGGGTGTCCAGAGCCCCCAGGGCCTCACTCAGGGATGGGGTGGCCGGAGCCCCCACGGCCTCACTCAGGGACGGGGTGCCCGGAGCCTCCAGGGCCTCACTCAGGGATGGGGTGGCCGGAGCCCCCACGGCCTCACTCAGGAACGGGGTGCCCGGAGCCTCCAGGGCCTCACTCAGGGATGGGGTGGCCGGAGCCCCCACGGCCTCACTCAGGGACGGGGTGCCCGGAGCCTCCAGGGCCTGCTGCTCTTACCTTTGGCTCTGTCTTCACAGTGCGAGACATCCCTGGATGGAGAAGCGGGCCTCTGCTGGTGCGTCTACCCATGGAGTGGGAAGAAGATTCCTGGGTCTTTGGAGATCAGAGGGGACCCCAACTGCCACCAGTATTTCAATGTACACAACTGAAGACTTCCACACTTGCTCTCTCACACAGAATATTTAAGTATATAGTATATTTATACTCTGGAGCACACCCTTTTATATATATATGTGTGTGTGTGTATATGTATATATCCAGGAACTACTTTTTATACTGCTTGATATATGAAGTTGGTTCTTATTTATTCACTGTAAGTTTATGTTTTTCTACACAGTTACTTGTGCTATATTAACTTATATATCATGAAGCACTTCTCATCACCATATACGTAAAGACTAGGTCTCGGCTGTCCCAGACTCCATTCTTCTGTTCTGAAAGGGCAGCGTGATATCGCCAGAGCGTGCCCACGCCAGCCTGCAGTTTAAGGAGGGACGTTAGCCCATGATCTTCTCTTTGCAGCCACAGATTTGTGTCTGATACCCGTTTGCCGGGGAAAGTTAAGATGTTGATTATGTAAACAAAGCTAAATGTGGAAACCTGCATCCGGTGCATTTTTAAATGCGCATCTGGAATAAATACTCTACCTGGAAATGCTGTTGTCCCTGTGAGGTGCTCTCTTTGTCTTCGTTCCTGTGATGTCTTTATCTTTCATCCTCCCGACTCCGAGTCTGCGCTTTGGGGCTGGATAATGTGATAGGTGGTGCTGTGATCTTGTGACCCTTTTCCAGGCAGCCTCAGGCCTCTGTCTGGGCCACATTAGGGATCCCCTACCCTCTTGGGGCACCTCCCTCCTCCCCGGAGCCTCTCCCCTCCTCAACACTCTTCAACTATAGCGAGGCCCCGCTTTCCTCTGGCTGAAATACATCACTGACAAGTAGTCACTGACTTCCAGTGCTTTTGAGACAGGGTTTTACTCTGTAACCCAGGCTGGTCTAGAAGTCACAGCAATTGTCCTGCCTCAGACTTCCAAAAGCCCAGGGCCACCACATCCAGCTCTCTCTCGGAGTTTCCATTCGCCTCTGTCAGCATAACAGGCTCCTCTCCTTCTGGCTTCCAGGCCCAGCCCCAGCCGTAGCCAGTCTTCTCTGCCTCCTCCATTGCCCGCTTCTCAAAGCTGACCTGGGAGGCTGGTCAGACACTGTCCCTCCACCCGCTGAGCGTTCCTGGCCCCTGACTCCCCATCCCATCCAGACTGTTCTTCTCTGGCCGCCTCCAGCCACGCCTGCTGAGGGAAGCTGAGCTCCCTCCACTGCCTCCACCCCAGGGGACAGTGACCTTGAGGACGGGTGATGCTAACCCCTGAGAGGGTGGAGGGTGGCCAAGGAGAAGGCAGAGAGTCACAGGAGCTTTGCGCTGGCCGGGAGGCTGGGAGGAGGCAGATGAAGAGAGGGCCAGAGGAAAAGCCGGCGGGCACGAGTCCTTACAGGGCTCAGGGGAGCATTGAAAGAGGACTGCTCACAGGTGTTATTAACTCCCCACAGAGCCAGAGACAGTGGGTTACACGTCTGTCTATGACCTGTCTCCCACTGTCTGTCGCCTGTTTCTCTAACTTTGTGTCTTTTACACGGCCAGCAAGCTCAGGGCCGCACGCTCATAAGGCAAGCGCTCTGCCGCCAAGCCGTCTCCGCAGCTCTACCAAGTTTTCACTTACCAGTCGTGGCCCTGTATAGCACCAAGTATACACTTGCTCATCAGTGACCTGTTCTGTCTGACTTTGAATTCTGTCTGTCAATCAACCCACTCGCCTCCCTGTCCGTGGAGACTCATTGTGAAGAGTTGGTTCGTGGGCAAGGGAGGCTGAGAAGTCCCAACACCTACCACAGGAAAGCAGGAAGTGTGAGCAGTCTGGGGCTGAGGACCTGAACACAGGGGACTTGATGATGTAATATTCACTTTAAGGGCCAGAGAAGATAAAATGTCCCTGGTAGGAAGGACGGTTTGAACGCCCCCCCCACTTGTGTTATTCAGACTCTGAGCAGATTGCACAACATACAGCGAACGTGTGGGGTGGTGGTGGGAGGTGTTGGGGAGTCAGTGGGCGCATCTCATCTGGGGGCGCTCACAGACACGCCTGAAATGATGCTAACTTTGTGCGCATCCCGGCCTGGCTGAGCTGATTTGAGGAACTGACCACCGTCACAAGCAAGGACAGGCGAAAGGTCAGAGGTGAAAGGGTGAGGCCAAGGAAAGGTGGGTGAATTGGTAGCTCCAGGGAGGTTAGCCCAGTGGGTTTATAAGCATCATCGTGCGGCTCACACCTCTGCAACGGCACCAAAGGGCCTGCCCTGTCTCTGTCCTGGATTCCTAGGACGTGAGGATGATGGCTGCACCCCGGGTCTGGCTCCAGGGCCAGTGTACGCTGTCACCCCACCCCAAGTGAGTTCACGGTACCCTTTCCAAGCGCTCCAAGGGTGCTGCCCTCTGATTTCCTTGGTCCCACCCTGTTGTCATACTGCATGCCCCCCCCCGCCCCATCTGGGAATACCCATAGAACCAATCCACTGTTGGCTGTGGCCAACTCTGTGATTCTGCGATCACTTCAGATGTCTGTTGACTGGCTTTAAACGCGACCCTAAACAGGCAATCACTGTATGTGGTTTGATGGTCCCAGGATGTATTGAAATTATTTTGGCAAGGGCAGTTGTGCCAAAGTCACAGAGAGGCACTGAGGTACAAGAAGCCCTCCCAGCATCCTTTGAGGTTGGTTCTCCTCCTTTTCTGGATTCGGTTCACTTCCCTTCTCCAAGCACCCAGCTGCAGAAAGGCTGCTGACTCGTGGGATGTGCCCATCTTACCACTCACATCAGCTGCCCGGGGAAGCTGCTCTGAAGACCGAGGCATGGGCCAGACTGTTGTGGAGACAACCTACTTTACCTGTCTAGACCATAATAACCACAACACACCCTCCTGGACCTAGATATCCCTCTGCACTCGGCCTGACGCTGCATGGATGCCAAAGAAGGCATGTCCCACCGAGATTCTTCTGTTGGAGACGGACTCAGCCATGACGTCTTGTCATGGCCATGACATTTTCTACTCTGTCTGGAAGATTCTACCCTCTCAGAGTGATCTCTCCAGCGACCCAAGACCCAGAAGCAAACAAAAGGAGAAGGGCATTTTTTAAATGATAAAAAACTTTATTTACTATTTATAAATACATTGCAAGACAAACTTTTCAAAAATACACTTTCCCCCAAAAACTTAATTAAAAAAATAAAGAAAAGCTGATAGGCAGGCAGAATGTCTCGAGACTCCTTTGTGCTCTCGAGACAAGCTCTGTACAGCGCATGTCCACCCCGTGGGATGCAGTGAAGTCTCCTCGCACCCTCTGTTGCCAGACCTCCTTGGCCTTGGCCTTGGGGGAGCAGCCCAGCCTCCAGACACGGCTCCTACCCTCGGGCATGCCCGTGGTCACAACACCTAACGTCTCTAACATTTCACCTAGGATTATCTAGTACAGATTCTACTATACTTGGGCTATGTCATCTACACTGTTAACAACTATGGATGTATTTTGTCTGCATATATGCGTGAATTATAAAGAAAGTCGAGAAGCACCCCAAGATCAACAAATGGGTGATCTCTAGGTGGTCTTTCCAGGCTACCCAACAAGTCCTTCCTCTTTCCTGCTTAGACAGGAAGGAGGGGAAGATGAAAATATACCCTTTGGTTTTTTTTCCTTAAAAAAAAAAAGCTTGCCCCCACCCCACAATAAACTTGTTGGACAAGAAAACACTGTTTTTTTTTTTTTAAATCATCCGCAGAACTAACTGTACCATTATCTGTGACATCTCTGAACCTGGAGGCTGATGTTCACTGCTCCCTTGACCTGGGGCCATCTGGGGGGCCAAGCCATCAGGAAGCTTCCTGACAAAGGAAGGTCCTTGTCCTTGTTTTTATGGGCTCCCAGAGTGCCTTAGAACATTCTTGGTCATGTTAAATAAGAGAGACTTGACCTATCCCCACGACTCCCAAGTAGACCAGGTCACTTGCAGGGCCAGGCCCTTGATTCAGGGATGACACCGTAAGGGCCATGAGTCTCAGGAGTATGCCCAGACTTGGTTAGGGCTTCCCCATTCTCCACAGTGCCTGCACACATTTACAGGGAATGGAAAGAGGATTTTTCCATATCAGCAACAGAACCTGAAGTCAAGAAGGCAGAGGACCAGCAGCATTGGAGTCCCGCACCGCTTCGGGTGGGTGGGTTGGGGGAGAGGGCATCCGTGGCCTGGAGTACATGAGTGTTTTCATAGGAAGCAACAGGGAAATTCAAACTGCTTTTTGTTGACTACTGGAGAGTAGAAAGATGATCAAGTTAACTACTTAAACAACCAGAAGCATTTTGAAAATCTGTCTAAACTTTGGCTTTTTTTTGCTTTTGTTTTTAATCAGTTCACCACAAAAAAAGGAAATATAAGTCAAGGCTGTAGCCAGCTGCTGCTGATGTTGGCAGTCTTTTGTGCAAAATAAGGCGTATTTGAGCTCCACGTCAACTAAAAGGAAAAATAAAAAGAGTAAGACATACACTGAAATAACTACCTCTAAAACCCAAAGGGCTCAGCTTCTTACTCAGCCCCAAGCACTTAGCGTGGCATTCCACCAAGGGGCCAGCCCTGCCTATTCTTCTCAACCAAATGACACTGAAGACACTTTCACTGCTGAAAGGTGTTAGCACCTTATTTTTCCAACTTATAAGAAAACATTTAACTAAAAATGAAAATTTTTTCTGCCTATTAATACTGTCTTGAGAAAACATAACATATTTATTCCTTCCATTAATTGCTTCACGCCCCCCTTGAAGGCAAACCACAGAACTTCTGCAGACAGAGTTTTACTAAAACAAAAGTCCTCACAGTGCTTGCATATGAAAGAGTGGGCCTGCAGTGGTGACACACGCCTTTAATCCCAGCACTGGGGAGGCAGGGAAGACGGATCTCTGTGAGTCTGAGGACAGCCTGATCCACAGAGGGAGTTCCAGTGCAGCCAAGGTTACAGAGAAATACTGTCTCAAAAAACCAAAAACTAAAACAAAAAACCCAAAAAGCAACAAACAAACAAACAAAAAAACCCAAAAAAACCAACCCCCCAAAACAATACAAAAACCCCCAAAAACAAACAAAAAGAATATGCATATCCTAAGCCATTGGCCTTGAGCCTGTGGTTGGGTTGGGGACCTCCTCCTTCTTCAAGTGTCCCCTTTGTCTTCCTCTCTTTGGGCCTGGCTGCAGCTCTTGGGCCAAGGGGCTCAGAGAGAGGGGTGGACACCTGGGGCCGCGTGGCTCCTAGCAATCTCCCTGACCCTGGGCCATTTTCAGAAGGCACTGTCCCCCCGGGCCTAACCCTTGGCTTACGTGGCGCAGTGGCATCTACTGGCTCTGCACACTGAGGCAGTGTACGTCATCTTTCCCCTTGGTGTCATAGCCAGGCAAGGGCTGTCCATACTTGTCCACACACCAGCAGAAGCCCCGCTTTCTGCCTTTGGATGGGCGGCACTGAGGGAGGGAGAGACAAGACCAAGACGTGAGTATCATGCGCATTGGCTAGTTTTATGTCGATTTGACACATGCTGACGTCATCTGGGAAGAGGAAACCTCAGCTGAGAATATGTCGCCACCAGACTGTCCAGTGGATGTGTCCTGCATTTTCTTGATTAATGATGGATGTGGGAGAGCCCAGCAGCTCTGGACAGGGCCACCCCTTGGCAGGTGGTCCTGGGTGCTGTAAGACAGCCGGCTGAGCAAGCCATGGGGAGCAAGTCAGTGAGCAGCCCCCTCTGTGGCCTCTGCTGCAGTCCTGCCGCGACTTTCTCCAGGGATGGACCGTGATATGAAAATGTAAGCGACATAAACCCTTGCCTCCATAAGCTGCTTTTAGTCAAGATCCTTTTCATAACCATAGAAACCCTAACCGAGACACCGTGTGTGAATGGGTAACCAGGGTCCAGAGTGGTTCCCCATCGTTGTTCATCTGGGCCAAGGTAAAATATGAGGGTCACGACTCCTGAAGAGCCACCCGTGTGTAGGGGGTGGTGTATGTCCATGCACACCCGTGCGTGCGTGCGTGCGTGTGTGCGTGCGTGCGTGTGTGTGTGTGTGTGTGTGTGTGTGTGTGTGCCCTGTCACCGCTCTGGGGATGTTGGAGGGGCTGCTGAGCTTTCTTTGCCTTGTGGCTGTCAGGCTGGATCTCTCAGACCTCGGGTCTAGCCTCACCTCTGGTCTCTCCTTAGTGAAAGTGGGCTGAGCTAGTCAATGGATGGTGCAGCACTCAGGCTCCCTAATGAAGACTTACAGACACTGGGGTGTGGGAAGCTGTGCCGAGCACTGTTTACGTCTGTCCCTAGGTTCACGCCGTGAGCTACCCACTTAGAAAGCACCTAAAACACTGCCATTAGGGGATGCATACGGGCATCAGAAGAGGGGAACAAAGGTGGTGGAGTGCCACAGAGGTTAAGGTTCCTGGAGATAACTGTGAGGCTGATTCCCCGCTGAGCCAATGGAGGGAGAAAATACCCTGGGGACCCCTCTTACCTGCTTCTTCTTATAGAACCCCTTCTTGTCACAGTTTGGGATGTGGACACCTCTGGGACTCAAAACGTTGAGGAACTTCAGATGATTTAGTGTGTCTTCCATTTCTCTGCGGCAGGGACCCTGAGGACACAGTTATTGTTTGAGAATCTCCCAATGGCCACAGGACCATCCCAGAAGGAACCTGTGGCATGCCTCTCTAGGACATTCTGTTTGGGTCAGTGAGAGGGTCCCAGGAGGACGCTAACCATCACTTCCTGTCTCTTCTGCTTTCTCAAGGTAAAACACGTGATCTAAGAATAGGCCAGTAGGCTTCAGAAAGAATAAAATAAAGCCATCTGTGAGAAGTCCGTTTCTTTATCTGCGGGGCCCACCACACACCTAGTACAATTCAGCTGGAACCTCGCATGAGACTCTGACATAGGAGGTGGGGCTTGACATAAAAAGGGAGGAGCTACCCATTCAACAGCTAGGACCCCTGGGATTTGCTGCATGAAGGCTGTCCTGGGGAGTTCCCTTTTCCCCACCCCCAACAGGAGGAAAAGTTCTCACGTATTCTGTCTCCCGCTTAGACTCAGAGGAGAAGTTTTGGGTGTCTGTGCTCTGTGACTCGTAGTCAACTTTGTAACGCTGGCTGTCCCTGGCATGGCCTTTCTTGATGACATCCATCTTTGCATGGAGTGGATGGAACTTGGAATCGGTCACACGGTGTGTGCTGGAGACAGCCTGGCTTTCCACACTGCCAGCACTGTGGTCCTCCTCAGACTCACTGATGTTTCCTGGAAAAGAACATGGGGATAAGGGAATGGAATAATAATCTTTGCAGAACCACCTCAGACCTAAAAGGCAACGTCATTCAACTGCTCTTAATATGTTAAGTAAAAGGTATTAGCCAAAGCATTCTAGAACACTACCTGTTGCACGCCTACGGCTTTGCTTCAGGAAGTCGTCTGTTTGAAAATCACTCTGTCAGGTGTTTTTAGTACAGCTGCAAGTGAAGGCAAGCAGACACTAACCGAGCCTTTCCACAGATGAAAAAGCAGCCAGTTCCACCTGCCACCAGCAGGGGGCGGTCGTGCACCAGGGAATGCTGCCGTGGAGCTGACCAGAAAACTCACAAGATTCCAAAAGTGGTCCTCTCAGCCCTGGGCACAGCTGTTGGGTGCGGGACGACTTGAAAAAAGTAATTCCCCACCCAGTGGCCATAGCACACTGGCCTGAGGATTCCCTCAGGTTTGCTGTGTTTTACGTGAAATATCTCACTTCAGGGACCCACAGAACCATGGAGACATGTTAGGGAGGCTTATTTCTGAGGTGCGGGTGCGCACAGACTTTGTGTATTGGGAGGGAGGGGCACCTCAGCGGTGAGCAGACAGAGTGGAGATGGGACTGCCCACAGCTTAGACCTGTAGTGTGTCCACTGCCTTGGAGGGCCAGGGGAGGGAGAAGTACGCCTCCTTTTGGCAGGGGCCTCTTTCAGAATCCAAGGTGCTGGCAGGGTTATAGCTTAATTGGGACCTTATGCTTGTGGCTAGACAGGAAGCCAAAGGCCCCGGTGCCCAGTTCTGAACTCCAAAGCTTCTGGATCAACCTTCAGGTCACGGCCGCCACAGAACTCCTTCCCTCCCACGACAGGGACACGAACAACCCTCCTAACAGGAAGGTCCAGTTGGCAATCCATCTGTCTGGGTGCAAGGCTCCAGCTGCCCCCTGCCCCAGGAAATGCCAGGCTGGGGCACCCTGCCCATGGGGAAGGCTTGGGTCCCTGGTGCTAGGCCAAGAGAAGCAGGTGCTCCACGCGTGGGCAGCTGCCTGCAGGCCGCAGAATCGGAGGTCTTTTAGAGCAATTGACCTTCAGGGCCCCAGGGAGGCCTTCTGGCCTCAGTTTCCCACCTACCAACTAGCTCCCCGAGTCCAGCTGCAAAGTCCTCTATGAATTCTGTGCCTTTTCAAGTACAAATTCTCATTCTAGACCAGCACCCCCGACAGAGGAGGTTCATAAGGAAATTCATGGGCTTCGCTTCAATTTGCTTTAATCTTAGTGGATTTTCTTTTTGGAAGTACAGGGTCAGAGGAAATGCTAATAGGTAAATGAAAATATTTGCATTTGCCCTCCAAGAGGCGGAACTAATTTCTTAAACTTCCTTTGTTTGCTTGTTTTAGTGTGTTTGTTATCCTTAGACCACTGATGGGGGGGGGGATATGGTTCAACTTGAAAAGGTAATTGTGAATTGTGTCATAGAACTGTCATTCCCTCCCTCCCCTCAGTGGACAGTAGAAGCTCACATCAGTTTATACTATAGAGCTTCAATGGTGGCTACTAATAACGGTCATTAGAGTCTAACTCAAAATGGTGCGTCGGTATTTCTTAGGATCACTTCAGAGATACCACAGAATGCATTAGAAGCCAAAGACACACAAGGCAAGCAGCCTAATTTTGCTTTTGACTGAGTCAGCGAAACAACTGGAGTCTTGCTTTGCCAGGAACCCGGTGCTTCTCAGGGATGAAGAAACCAGGCCCGGCAGCCACAGAAATCACAAAGGGACGGTCGGTTCAGCTAGACCTGGCTGGTCTCAGGGGCTTGCTCTGCAACATCTGCTCCGGCTGTGGGGAAGCCGGAGAATTCTAGCCTTCCTCTGTGCAGCGCAAGACATTGACTCACACAACAGAGCCGAAACTGGCTAGGAATGCCGGACATTGTGAGCAACAGCTGCCAAATCCATTTACATATTTTTTTTTCTTTCTTTCCAAGGGAACGACTCGATGCCCTTAGAATGGCCGCCTGCTTGATAGGACCAGCTCCAGGAGGGGTAACTGCCAAGCGTTTGTGATTTTCCTCGTGGCACCCCACTCCTTCCGCATTGTATTAGGAAGGGAGAACATTCCTGGGTAGCATTTCTATAGTTCATGCTTCGGCAGGGGAAACCACCTGGATCTGCACTACCTGTACCCCACGCACCTGGGGCGTGATCACCGAGGCCCGCAGGCGCCACAGGGCGTGGACTAGTGCCTAAGGAGTAAATGGGGCTCACACCCTATTGCAGCCCTGGTGACTTTGAGCAGTTCTTGCGTTTTGAACTTTAGGTTACACACCTGAAATACACCAGTATTGTAATTCCATCTCCATAGTTTTTGGATAAATGGGGACACAACACAGCTTTGTCAATCAGCCTATGCTAATGTTAGGAATTTTCAAGACAGGTGCCTGCCAGCGAACCTTCCTGGCCCTGATCCGATCCCGTATTCCCACGCTCAAGCTTCCCTGGGGTAGACAGGCACCTTCCTAATTGCGGGGAATGGAAACTCAGGTCTACAGCTGGGCTACACAGCCCAAACCCAGGCATCCACGCTCATCGAGACTCCAAAGACCGGGATCTGTCCATTGGCAGTCTCCCTTGGTATCCACCGTCCTGCCACGGAAATCTACCCATTTTCACGGAAAGCATTTTGCATCTTACAAGAAAGTTGCACTTTGAGAACCAAGCAAGCGGAGCGATGGTTGAGGGGGTCCCTTCCGCCTCCCAGGGCCCGTCTCGCCACTAACACCTTCTGGATGAGTCACATCAAGCCTCTGAAGCCACAGGTCCTGCCTCCCCGCCACCAGTCAGGAGTCCCAAGGGAGTGCGCTCGTGCACGTGGTGCGAGCGGCTTACCTGGAGCGTGTTGGGAGGGCAGGTAGGCGCTCAGGCTGCCGGCGGCGCTGGCGTTGGCGCAGAACCCGCGGCCATTGAGCAGCGCCTTCAGCGGGTACTGCTCTGCGGGCCGCGGCTGGCAGCGGAGACCGGTGCCGCAGCGCTCCGTGTAGACGCCGCACGCATCGCCTTCGCTCAGCGCGCAAGTCAAGCAGCAGCCGCAGCCCGGTTCTCGCACCAGCTCGGTGCACGCGGGCGCGGGGGGGCGGAGGCGCGCACTGGGCCAGCGCACGCGCGTCGCATGGTTCGCAGCGCACCACGGGGCCCGCGCCCACCGCGCCCGCGCCGGCCCGCGCCCCCGGAGGCCCGCGGAGCAGAGTGAGTGCGGTGAGCGCAGCCGCCCAGAGCGCAGGGCGCGCGGGATGCATGGCGCCCGACGGGCGGAGGGCCTGCGGCTCGGCGGAGGGGAGCGGAGTGGAGCGCGCGGGACGAGGCTGCGGGATGTGGGCAGCGAGCAGCAGGTCCTCAGCGTCCCGTAGCCACGCTAGCTCGCGTCTGGGCAGCCTGGGCGAGCAGGCCAATATATAGAAGCCGGGGTGGCGGAGGACACGCCCCGGAACGGCGCGGGTGGGGGTGGGGTGGGCCGGCGCAGGCTCGGCTGCCCCGCGCCTCCCCGGGAAGCGGGACCAAGGACGGGGGCGCGCTGCGCGCGTCTTCACCGGGCACCTGCTCCATGTGCGCACGCCCTGTACGCGGGCCACCCCTTCGTCCCCGGGAACCGTGGGCTCTCCCGGCCACCTTGCTGTCTCTTGAGTCCCTGTCACTTCAGTACCCTTGATTACCCCCGATGGAATGACGGCCAGCCAACTTGGCGCTCCGGACCCTGCAGCCCCTCCCCCCTGGATGCCGGGTTAGGTGGCCCTCCTGAGCTGATTTATGGCTGGGAAGCTGGCGCGGGCCCATTCAATTCCTGTGTACTTTGCAAAGTTTCTGCAATTGAATGCCTCCTGGAGAGCCTGTTGCACTTCCCACCGACACGCGGATCATATTTAAATCTGCACCGTTGGCTACTTGAGCCTCCAGAGTCTCGCAGTGAACAATCGAACGTGACAGTCGTGAGTTCTAAAGATTTGCTTTTCAAAGCCGTCGTGACTCAAGCACTCTTACTTAGCTGCCTTCTCCAGTGAGCCGAATGGGCAGTGCGTCCTTACGGGAAGGCATATATATATATATATATATATATATATATATTTTTTTTTTTTTTAAATGAAGCTCCATCAGTTCTTATTTGGGGATTCTTTTTAGTTAGCGGTTACATCTACGGGGACACAGAAGCGGGTGCCACTGAAACACGATTGATAGCCAAGCAGCTCCTAAAACGAATAATTTTCACAATCATTTTTTGGAAGCCATCGTTGCACGCCTGTATTAAATTCTTTCTGGTATACCCCAGTGCAGACTAGAGTTCTCGCTAACCTGCGGTCTCTGAACACCGCTGAGAGCTGAAATCCCGGAGCAGCAGTGCTCTGAGTTCTCAGCTTATCTACTTTCTCTCGCAAGGGTCTCTCCCAAGTATACACGCTCCTTCCGTAGGCGACCAACAGAGGACGCTGGCGGTCCAGGATTGAATTGACAAACCACGACTCTTTTCTCCCCCTTTTCTTTTTTAATAGTTTGTGGATGAGCGGTGGGAACGTGTGAGATCGACTTGGAAAGACGCTTTCCTGGATGCCCTTGAAATGAGTGTTTACAATGGCGGCTGGAGAGGTTCTCGCCGGGGAGACCTACGCAGTTTTAGGCAGGAAACGAACTAAGACGGCTTCCCCACATGCGACATTCATCCACCATGTGTCTTCATGTCTCTCCTGTATCTCTTTTATCTATTTATATTCTTTTCAACACGATTCGTTTTAATTTTAGTTCTCCTTTATTATTAAAGCTAATGCTAAAAATTTGAGCTTTTACAAAGGAAAAAAAATCAAAGATAGAAACGTGAAGGCCTGGGCCCCGTGGTAGCCGGCCAAGGCACAGCACCCCAATTTTCACACTGTATCTCCCTCATAGTGCTCGGGTTGTTGTGTCCCTCCTTTCCTCCCTCCTATTCACACCCAAGAACAGGGACTCTGATTTCATTGGAAGATTGAAAGAAAAAATAATAAATCCCCCAGGGTTACATTTGTTCTTTAAATAACCGTTGAGACCTTGACTCCAAAATTAGAACAAGGTTCCCTATCAAAACTGATTCTAGACGCGGCCGGCCTCCCTCCCCTCTGTTCGGTACAATGTTACACACAGCAGCAGTCTGGTCCGTGATCAGCGTAGAACCTTTACCAGCTTTATCATCAGGCTAGGAGGCAGGGGGCGCCTAGAAGGAATGACTTCTTGGAAAAGATAAAAAGTGTTTAGCTTGGTTCTCTTCACAGGGAAGGAGCCCTGCCATTCTTCTGCAGTTTGAGAAATGGACTCTTGTTCCAAGTGTGACTCCGAGGGGGCGCCAAAGCTCCAGGACTCCACTTGGATTTACAGGCAGAGCAGCGTTCTCACAGGATGGGTCCCTATAAGTGTTTTATGTCGACTGTCATCAGCATTGTCATGAAAACTTGCACCAGCCAAGCACATTAGTGGCACTGACACGATGAGAATTTTGCTTTAATATTTAGCTGTGTTCTTTTGACCAAACTTCAGGGCACCCCTCCCCTGAAAATAATTATTGCAGGAAGGATATAGATGGGAGTAAATGTGATTTTATGACATGCTAGTTAATTATGTCAAACTTTAAAACTGCTGTTTGTGGCTGTGAATGTAACGTGTGCAGTGGGGAAGATGTGTTCTTTCCTTGTGAAGGTACCTGACATTCAGCTGTGAATAATGACAATGGCCAGGGGTCTCACCATCTCCCAACAGAGCCCCGTCCGCTGACTTGGTTATAATTAGAGATCCCTGCTGCCAGCTGCGTAATTTACTGATAGACACAAGCTCCTCACTGTTTGGAGCACATTGTCTTTAGTTGGACAACTTTGTGGGTGATGTAGGTATTTCTTCTTCTGCTCAGGGCTGGCCGAGTGTCTTAGGGTTTATATTGCTGTGAAGAGACACCATGACCATGGCAACTCTTAAAAGGAAAACAATTAATTGAGGGGGTGGCTTACAGTTCAGAGGTTTGGTTCATTATCATCGCGGTAGGGAGCATGGCAGCATGCAGGCGGATGTGGTGGGGGAGGGGTAGGTGAGAGTCCTACATTGTGCAGTCAACTGGAAGAGAGCTGAGACACTGGGCCATATCATGAGCATAGACAACATCAAAGCCCACCCCCACAGTGACACACTTCCTCCAACAAGGCCACACCCACCCCAACAAAGCCACACCTCCTTATAATGCCACTCCTTATGAGATTGTGGGGCCAATTATATTCAAGCTGCCACACCAAGCAAGCAGAGACACTCAAGTGCTTGCACTGTAGACAGCAGGCATTGGCTCCAGATGTCTCTAGGAATGTGGCTGTTATTCTTACTGATCACTAGTAGTCTGGATGGAAGGGCCAGACTCCTAAGGGCAGGTGATGTTTTAGATCTAGTTTCTAGGACTCAATGTCTACAGCTTGAGAATTCCTTCCCAGGGTAAGTGAGCAGGGATGGGAAGCCTAATTTTCCCTCCATCAGGTCACCTTCTGGGTGAGCCTCCCAAAGTTACAAATTCCAGACATTTTAGGGACCATTAACTACCAGAAGTCATTGCCATTAATAGCATTGCAGGTTGCTATGCTATTAATTGCTGTTATTGCTATCAATACCCAAAGAAACATATACCAGCCACGAAGATTCACAGGCATTCCAGAGGAAATCATCAGAGACCAGAGACTCATGGGTAGCATGGCCACAGAGAAAGCAGAGGGGCCTCACAAGAGTGTTGGTATCCCAAGTGTTCAGGTGGTCAGGACAGGCTTCAGAGGGATGGTGGCATTTAAGTCTCACAGAACAGAGAGGCGGGCAGAGGGAGAATAGGAACACTTTGTACATGTGTTTTCTTAGAGAGTGGCTCGCAACCTGTGGGTCTCCATCCCTTTCACAGGGTCTCTTAAGACCACTGCAAAATACAGATGTTTACATTACAGCTCGTGACAGTAGCAAAATTACAGTTATGAAGTTGCAACAAAAAGCATTTTATCTTCTTTGTCGAAAACCAGGTGTTCATAGGTTTGTGGATTAATCTCAGGGTTTTCAATTTGATTCCATTGGTCTCCCTGTCTATTTTTGGGCCAATACCAAGCTGTTTTCAGGACTATAGCTATATAATAGAGCTTGAAGTCAGGGATGGTGATACCTCCAGATGTTGCTTTGTTGAGCAGGGTTGTCTTGGCTGTCCTGGGTTTTTTGTTTTTCCATATAAAGTTGAGAATTGTTCTTTCAAGGTCTGTGAAGAATTGTGCTGGGATTTTGATGGGGATTGCATGGAGTCTGTAGATTGCTTTTGTCAGGATTGCCATTTTTACTACATTGATACTACTTATCCAAGACCATGGGAGATCTTTCAATTTCCTGGTGTCTTCTTTAATTTCTTTCTTTAAAGACTGAAAATTCTTTTGATACAGGTCTTTTACTTGTTTGGTTAGCATTACACCTGGGTATTTTATGTTGTTTGTGGCAATTGTAAAGGTGATGTTTCTCTGATTTCTTTCTCGGCCCTTTTATCGTCTGTATATAGTAGGGCTACTGATTTTCTTGAGTTGATCTTGTATCCTTCCACTTTGCTGAAGGTGTTTATCAGCTGAAAGAGTTCCCTGGTACAGTTTTTTGGTTCACTTATGTAAACTATCATATCATCTGCAAATAGTGAAAGTTTGACCTCTTCCTTTCCAATTTGTATCCCCTTGATCTCTTTTTGTTTTCTTATTGCTTTGGTTAGAAGTTCCAGTACAATATTGAAGAGGTATGGGGAGAGGGGACAGCCTTGCCTTGTTCCTGATCTTAGATAAATTGCCTTGAGTTTCTCTCCGTTCAGTTTGATGTTGGCTGTTGGTTTGCTGTATATAGCTTTTATGATGTTTAGGTATGTTCCTGTTATCACGGATCTCTCCAAGACCTTTATCATGAAGGAGTGTTGGATTTTATCAAAGGCTTTTTCAGCATCTAGTGAGATGATCATGTGACTTTTGTTTCTCAGCTTGTTTATATGGTGGATTACATTGATGGATTTTCACATGTTGAACCATCCCTGTATTCCTGGAATGAAGCCTACTTGATCATGGCGGGTGAGTTTTCTGATGTGTTCTTGGATCCGATTTGCCAGTATTCTATTGAGTATTTTTTCATCAATCTTCATGAGGGATATTGGTCTGAAGTTCTCTTTCTTAGTTGTGTCTTTGTGTGGCTTAATTATCAAGCTAGAATTATACAATGGAAAAAAGATAGCATCTTCAACAAATGGTGCTGGCATAACTGGATGCTGGCATGTAGAAGACTGCAGATAGATCCATGTCTATCACGATGCACAAAACTTAAGTCTAAATGGATCAAAGACCTCAATATAAATCCAGACACACTGAACCTGCTAGAAGAGAAAGTGGGAGGTACCCTTGAATGAATTGGTACAGGAGACAGCTTCATGAACATAACACCAGTAACACTGAGATTAACAATTAATAAATGGGACCTCCTGAAACTGAGAAGCTTCTGTAAGGCAAAGGACACTGTCAGCAAGACAAAAAGGCAACCCACAGATTGGGAAAAGATATCCACTAACCTCATATCTGACAGAGAGCTGATCTTCAAAATTTATAAAGAACTCAATAAGCAAGTCTCCAAAACACCCAAAGGATCCAATTAAATAGTGGGGGACTGAACTAAATAGAGAATTCTCAATAGAGGAGTATAAAATGGCTGAGAGACACTTGAGAAAGTGCTCAACATCATTAGCCATTAGGGAAATGCAAATCAAAGCAAGTCTGAGATACCATCTTACTCCTGTCAGAATGGCTAAAATCAAAAACACCAATGACAGTTTGTGCTGGTGGGAGAGCCAACTCGGACAGCCACTGTGGAAATCAGTATGGAGATTCCTCAGGAAAATGGGACTCAGTCTACCATAAGACCCAGCAATTCCACTCTTAGGCATATACCCAAAAGATGCCCATTCACACAATAAGGATGTCTGTTCCACTATGTTCATAGCAGCATTATTTGTAATAGCCAAAACCTGGAAGCAACCTAGATGCCCCTCAACCGAAGAGTGGATAGAGAAAATGTGGTACATTTACACAATGGAGTACTACTCAGCGGGGGGAAAAACAATGGAATCTTGAAATTTGCAGGTAAATGGATAGCACTAGAAGAAACCATCCTGAGTGAGGTAACCCAGACACAAAAAGACAAACATGGTATGTACTCACTCATATATGGATTTTAGATATGAATCAGGGGAGTCTCAGCCTACAATCCCAGTGCCAGTGAGTCTGGGAAACAGGGAGGTTCCCAAGAGAGATGCATGGTACCCCAGAGAAGTAGAATGAGGCAAGATCTCCTGAGCAGATTGGGAACATCGGGGGAGGGGAGAAGGAACCAGGAAAAAGAGAGGGGAAGAAGAGGAGGGGAGAAGAAGGCATGTGGGAGCAGGAAGGTTGGGTTGAGGTAAGAATAGAGGAGAGCAGGATGAGAGATACCATTATAGATCGAGTCATTATAGGCTTGAGGAGAGAGCTGACTCTAGTGAGATCTCCAGAGATCTCCAAGGATAACACCACCTGGCAAACTAAGCAATAGTGGAGAGACTACATTAATAGCCCCTCCTTGATGATAAGGTTGATGACTATCCTATATGTCATCCTAGAACCTTCATCCAGTGACCGATAGAAGCAGAGACAGATACCCACAGCTAAACATTGAACTGAACTCCTGGAACCTAGTGACAGAGATGGAGGAGTGATGAGCAAAGGGGTCAAGACATTGATGGTGAAAC